TTCAGAACTCTCAATTTTTTAAAAAGAATTTGCAAGAATTTTGTTTTCCAAGAGTGAATCACTGGGGTGGACCCTTTTAAGATTTTGAGAAAATTTTTGTTATTTTGAGAGTACTGTTTTTTTAGTTTTTTAAATTTAATCCATAAATCTAATTTTCTTGTGCACTTTTTTAAAAATTTTTTAAAATTGTCTATTATTTGCAATAATCTCTTTGATTTATTTTTTTAACAAATATTTGTTTCTTAATTATTTTTGAGTGAAGAACAGGGTTTTTTTTCAAAAACAATGTAACGATCAAACACAAATGAACAATTACTTTTTTAACCAATTCCCAATGTGCGCAAGAGTGTGAAGAGTCATTTATTTGTGAGCGTAGAGAAAGAAACAAACAAAAATTAAAGCACGAGATTCAGGTGTTTACTTTATTTTTATTGACTAGTGGGGTTGGGGGCTAGTTTTGGCATTGATGATGGAGAATACTCGACTGATGGGGGAGGGGATATTAATTGGTTTTATAAAGAATGTCTGTAAGAAAAAATTTTTAAAACTTGTTTTTTAAAATTTTTTTTTTGAAATTTTGTTTGAGAGTTTGATTGGAAAGTTAATCAAATCAAAAAATTTTAAGAAAAAAATTTTCTTGTAAAATGTCCATTTACTTATTGCTCACGTACTTTAGTTTTCACTTTTCTCAATAATTTTTCCCATTAGAAAAAAACGAATGATTATCAATTTTTAAATAAATACATATGGGCTGATATTGTTAAGGAAAACCCTCATAATATTTTGGATGTTTAAAGTTCCCATTCTTTGATAATTAGTGCTTTGTATTGCTTTTATTTTGTCTACAAGTTAAAAACAAATTGTATTTTGTGGGGGTAAAACTTTGTAAATATGTATACTAGTGAGAAAAAATGTTTAATTGATTGTCGACCTTTTGTGAATTCCTTGGCTCTTACTCCGTTATTAATTTTTATTTTTACTAACTTGTTTGAAAAATATACATACTTAATTTTTGCAATTTCAATCTCCCTCCGTTTTATTTTTTTAATTAAAAAATTTTTTTTTAATTTTTATGCCTCTACCTACTTCATTAATGAATAAAATTAATAATAAATGCAGATATTTTTATTCAACAACAACAGAATCAGAACCTCTTCTACCCGATACAATCAAATTCATCAAAGAAAATTTGGAAAAATATGGATCAGTTCATTTTGAATTGCCTCATGTTTTTGTTGTTTTTGGCGCTAGTGTGAGTCATTTTTTATTTTACAAAGAAATTTTTTTTTAATTTCTAGGGAGATTTGGCAAAAAAGGTAAAAAAGTTTTGTATGATTAATTGCATGCACCTCAACTGAATTCTAGACTTTATAACTTATAAAGGGGTAGTTTTTTTCCTTTTTGAGTTATAGTGCCGGAACTCGGTTGAACTGCGCCGTAATTTATTGGGAAATTTATCTCAAAAATTTAAAGAAGATTTATCCAACTCTCTGGTGGCTTTTTAGAGATGGACTTTTGCCCAAAAATACACATATTATCGGCTATGCACGTTCTCATTTATCTGTGGCTGAATTGGTTAAGCATTTTGAATCTTATTGCAGTGTTCGGGTTGAAGAAAAAGAAACATTTGCTAATTTTGTTCGGCATTGTTCTTACATTTCGGTTTGAAGGTTTTTTTTAAATATTTTTACTCACGTATTTTTAAGGGCCAGTACAATACTGATGATGGTTTAATAGCTTTACACAAAGCTATAACTGAAATGGAGAATACCTTCAAAAGTTGGTTTTAAAAAAGTTTTTAAAATATTAAGTATGTACTGGGCTAATGGTTTTTTAGATAAGTTGGTTGTGGTTAAGTGGGTTGTGTCTTAGGTTGTTGGTTCAAACCCGCTTGTTTTTTGAGGTTTGTGGACTATTTTGGTAGTTTTAAAAGCTTTTTTAAACGGCAATTGGTGGAAGGTTTCTGGTTAAGTAGGTTGGGTTTTTATCGCTCTGGTTTTATATCGGAGTTCGGGTCCCTTTCGAATCTTTTATATTCTGTAGGGCTTCCGGATTTTCTTTTAAATTTGGAGTTCTGTGCAGGAGCAAATTGAGTTGGGATTCTTCCACAAATGAAGAAGCTCAAATTATTTGCTCTAAATCAATTAGCCATTTTTCAAGATCGCTTTTGACATTAGTTTATGTTTCAACCGTATAAGAGATGGCATACTAGTTTAAAAATCAAAAGAATAAGGATTTTGTTTAAATATATTCAAAAAAAATTTTTTTCAGAACCTGCTAACAGACTCTTTTACTTGGCCTTACCTCCAGAAGTCTTTCAAACAGTCACAGAACACATTCGGCGACATTGTATGAGTGATAACAACTCTGAAGTCAGATTTATTTTTTAATCTAAAATTATTTATTTTAGGCATGGACTCGCATAATTATTGAAAAACCATTTGGATATGATGATACATCTTCTGCAGTTTTATCAGAACATTTGGCGAAACTTTTTACTGAAGATCAACTTTATCGGATTGGTTTGTTTTGCTTATTGTTATAAACTATTTTGTATTTTTAGACCACTATTTGGGCAAGGAAATGGTCCAGAATCTTATGGTTTTGAGGTTTTTAAATTTTTTCTATCATTTATTAGTTTATTGCTTTAAAGGTTCGGCAATGAATTTTTCTGTCCATCATGGAATCGGCATCATATTGCTTCTGTAACAATTTCTTTCAAGGAAGATTTTGGAACTCAGGGACGTGGTGGTTATTTTGACAAGAGTGGAATTATTCGTGATGTTATGCAAAATCACTTAATGCAGATTTTGACGATTGTTGCAATGGGTACAATATTATAGTTTTGTAAAATTTAAATTTTTTAAAGAAAAACCGGTGAGCATGAGCGCAGATGACATTCGAAACAAAAAAGTTGAAGTTCTTAAATTGATAAATCCAGTAAAGGTGTCAGAAGTTGTTCTCGGGCAATATGTTGGTGACCGTCAAGCTAAAGGTTTTTTTGCAAATATTTATAGGATGTAATTTAATTTTTAAAGATCCGGATGCTCGTCTTGGATATTTGGATGATGAGTCTGTCCCAAATAATTCTATAACACCTACGTTTGCAACAGCCGTTTTGTGGGTTAAAAATGAACGATGGGAAGGCGTTCCTTTCTTTTTGCGTTGTGGAAAAGGTTTGTTGTTTATGATTAATTCCGAGAGTATTTTATAGAACGGGGGAAGGGAATGACGTGATTTCTTTCGCTTTAATAAATTTTAGCTTTAAATGAACGAAAAGCGGAAGTACGTATTCAATATCGTGACGTCTCTGGTAACATTTTCCCTGATGACTCATTGAAACGGAATGAATTGGTTATTCGTGTACAGCCAAATGAAGCTGTTTATATGAAGGTTTTATTATTTTTAAAATAAAATAACGGGTCAACCTTGAAGTCCTACACCCTTAAAACAACAATGAAATTTAAAATATTTAAGGTAAACACTAAAAGGCCAGGTTTCTCTGCACGTCAAATAATAGAAACTGAAGAAACCGAGCTTGATTTAACATTTAATTCGCGATATAAGGTTTATTTTTTGTTAAAAATTTAGATTTAAATAATAACATTTTTAGGGAATGCGTTTTCCGGATGCATATGAACGCCTCTTTTTTGATTTATTTAGCGGTCGACAATATAGTTTTGTTAGAGCAGATGAATTAGAACAAGCATGGCGTATATTCTCTCCGCTTTTGAGACAAATTGAAAATGAACGAGTTAAACCAGAACCTTATGTTCATGGAAGGTTAGTCAATTTTCAATTTAATCCAAGGTTTTCTTGAGTGTAATGGGTTTAACTTGACGATCAGGTCCCGTACCTAAATTCATTGTTAAATAACCGGGTTAAAAATATCTGCATGTCACGTCCTATTCATAACTAATCAAGGGACCCATTTCAACAAAATAGATTAAATTTCCAATATTTTTTAAAGTCGTGGTCCAGCAAGCAGTGATCAACTTCTGAAAGAACACGGCTTTGTTTTTACAGGCACATATCGGTGGCACATTAATAATAATAATTCTGAAACAAACAAATCAAATGGAGGCGTAGGGAAAAATGATAATAGTAAAATTATCAAAGAGTTTCATAAATTTTGAGCTTTTTTTGTTTTAATTTTATATATTCTCAATTTATATTCAATTTATAATGGCATTTAACTTTTTTTAATATTTTTTTAGAAATTCTAATTCAATCAGTTGATTTTTTAGTTCATTTTTTAAAAACATTTTGAGCCTTTTTATCTTTTTTTAATAAAATTTTAATTAAATTTTTATCTTATTTTATATTTTTATGTTTTTAAATCATAATTAATTACCTTAATTAATTTTTAGAAAAAATAACAAGGGATGATCCGGTCGCACGATGTAACTCTGAGTGTTTTAGAAGTCAGGTTTGTGGTAGGGATTGTCAAACCTCGGACTCTTTTATCCTGGGAACTCGGATTCTTTTGTCCCTGACAAATGAGGTCTCGAACTCGTCCTTGAGACTTTGACTCTTCTTCCTCGGGACTTGGACCCTTTTGTCCTCATTCAGAATTTTTCGGAAAACGACCCCTCGTTTTTATTTTATTTTTTAAAGTTTGCTAATATCAACAATTCATCTTCACACTTTAATATAATTTTCAGCATTTTAACCCTATTTTCTAGAACTTTTTTTGCACGCAAATCGATCTGCGTTGTAAAACTAGAAAAGAAATAATTGGCCATTAATTCACCTCTAGTTTTGTTTACAATCTGTTTGGACAAAATTTAAAAATTATTTTCCGATTATAAAAATTGTTGATAATATTTTTGTTGTTATTTTGATAATAAAATGAACTTTGAGGTTTTTGTGGTTCACTGATTTGAATTTTTAAAATATTTCGTTTATTTTTATTTTTGAAATATTTTCAAATTTTGCTCGTTTTTCGTTCAGAAATAATTCCAATTTCTTATTTTTCAGTTAAAAAAATATTTTTTTAAATGCCAAATCATCATCATGTTCAACGCGTCCTTTCTCACCGAAGAGCTTTTCCATTATTACTATTACATTCACAACGAAATAATCAACAACATGCTCCTTTGTCTACATTGTCTTCATCATCAATTAATTTTCCAAATCGAAGAGGACTTGAACAAATACAATTTCAAAACAAAAATTCGGAAAAAAGATGTTTTTCTTCATTGGAGGACAATAAAGAATTGGTAAAATTTTTGTAATTAAACGTCAATTAGGTTTCACTTTTTTAGAAAATAATTGAAAAAAGGAGAAGTTCGTATGTTTTCAATTTTTCAAAGAAAAAAAAGATTTTTTAAACAAAAATTTAAAAAAAGAGTAAAAAACATTTTCAGAAAAATATAAATTTTTAGAGTGCCAAAGAGGAAGCTCAACAACGAGAAGTCGAAAACTGCTACAAAAGGATTGATTTATCGTTTGAAAATGCAAAGGAAGCTTTCAAGGTTTGGCTTATATTTTTTGATTGTCTGAACAAAATTTTTTGTTGTTCCGGGAAGGTCTGAAGGTTTTATAAAGGGCGTGTCCAGGGAGTGGCTGTAAAGGGAACTCTGGTTTCTTGATCTTAGTAAGTGCAATCTGTTTGCCTAACACCAAAATAAACACCAGAAACACGTTCTTATTGTTAGAACTCCCTCCCCTTGAAATCCATTCTTGGCTACGCTCTTGTGTTTACCAGCATTTTTCTCTTATTGTATTGGGCAAGATTTGTTATACACTAATGCCGCAAGAGCTTTGATTTGCTAATTTTTCTCGTCATAAAGCACCTATTTATCGTTTCAGAGTAAATCCAATCTTGATCTTGCCCGTGCCCTTCTTGTCTTTCGCTGTTGTCAAATCGACTGGCTAGTACAGTTAGTTTTCTTTGGTTTTCTTTTCAATTATTTTTTTATTTGAAGAAATAATCAACGCATTCTTCGAATACTTCGAAGAGTACTTGGACAGGAACTGTTTAAACGCCTATTAAAATCAACATTTTATGGTCATTTTGTGGCGGGAGAAGCACTAGATGAAGTTTCTTCAACAGTTTCAAAGCTTCAAAGTTTTGGTATAAAATCGATATTGGATTACAGGTTTCTAAACGATTTTGTTTGGTAAAGTAATTCTGGAATTTTAGCGTTGAAGCAGACATTAGCTCGGCAGAGGCTCAAGAAAAAGCTGTTGAAGGAATTAAAGAAGAGGAAGAAACTAAAATTCCCGAGGTTTAAAATTTTAGGTTTATCGGGGGTATTTCAGAGTTCCCCTTCACCCATATCGAGTCTCAAAATTAAGTCGTTCAATTTTTTAAATTATTAGGCTTTGGAATTGCTAGCAGAACAAGTACACGATCCAAACGTTCAACCTGAAGAAACACACAAACAATTTAGCGTTTACAAAGAATTTGGTGATCGTCGAGAACTTGTTGTTAGTGCTAGAACTTATTTCTATTCTGGCGAAAGTGAATGTGACAAAAATGCAGAAATGTTCTGTCGTTGTATTGATGCAACATCACAAGCTACTCAGGGACAAGGATTTATTGCAATTAAGGTAATAAATGATTAATTTTGGGTGAGAATGTTTTGATTGTTCACGTTGCAATCATGTAAAGATCGGACATTGAAGAGGTGCTGATTAGGTGTGTTCACGAATCTCGTTTTACGAGTACCAACGTTGGGTTCGAAAACCATTAAGAAAATTAAGTGAATTTTGGGAGGGAGAAAGTCCGATCGTTCTTACATATTAAGAAAAAATATAGGGTAAACTGATAAGGAATGGGGTACGTAAACAAAATAAATGCTTTTCTAATTCTGTCTTGTCGCCGAAGTAATAATAGAACGACTCTCCCTGCTTCGTCCGCGCTTAAGTTTTGGGTGATTTAGTTTCTGGCATTTTAAACATTTTTTAGTTTTGGAAAATATTTTTTTATATTTCTAGTTGACAGCTCTTGGTCGTCCTCGTCTTTTCATTCGCTTGAGTGAAGCAATTGCACAGATGCATAACCTCTTCAAAGTTATTACTGGCTCAAGTTGGGAAAATCTGTTTCTTTCGCAAATTACTGAGGCTCAGTTATTGGAAAAATTAAATGTATTTTTTTATGTTTTCGTTCTGATTAAAAATTTTTTTAAAGGAATTTGGAGTTAAAACAGACAGTGTAGCAGTTCGTGAATGGTTCAAACAAGTAGATTTTGATGACAATGGAATTGTTGACTTTTTTGAATGGGGACAGTTGTTAGATTTGGAGGAACGTGGAGCAGTTAAACAACTCGATAAAATGTTTCAGGTTTTTTTTGGAAATTTTATTTATTTAAAACCGGTTTCCTTTTAAGATTTTGAACATAAAAACTGGTCGTTTGGAGCCACTTATCCAAAATTTGAGCAAAACAGAAATGAGGGAATGCGCGAATATGATGGGTCGTCTGAACAAAGTTGCGGACCACGCATTTGAGCGTGGGATACGTATAATGGTTGATGCAGAACAAACTTATTTTCAACCTGCTATTTCACGTTTAACAAATGCATTGATGCGACGGTTTGTTTAAAAATATTATTTTGATGGTATTTTGAGTGATTTTTTCTTGGGATCGATCTGATTATGGATTGTGACGCTTTGGTGCTCTCATGGAGTAAAATTTGAAAGCACGGACGTTAGGGCGCGGGGGCGTAAGGCGCGTGTGAAAAATTTTCGGAATAACGTTACATCCCCCTTGGAACAACATCACTCATTATGGAATTTCCCCAAGTGTGGTCGAGCAATTTAAACGTTTTTGGAAGTTTGTTACGTGTGCCTTAACGACATTGCGCCCAACTATTTTTGTTCAATAACTTTTTTGGTTGTTTAACATTAGTTGTTCTATATTTTAGACATAATCGTGAACGTGGACAAGTTCTCAACACGTACCAAGCTTATCTACGATCTTGCCTCTCAGATTTGCTTATTGACCTGAATTTGGCGAAAAGAGAAAATTTTCATTTTAGTTGTAAATTGGTATGGATTTTAAATTTGTTTATTTTAATTAAATTTTTATTTAAAGGTTAGAGGTGCTTATATGGAACAAGAAAGGTTAAGAGCAGCAACAGTTGGATATGAAGATCCCATTAATCCAACTTGTGAAGCTACATCAGAGGTTTACTTTGGAGTAAATTGCATTATGTTTAACTATTTTTAGATGTACCATAAATGTTTGGCTGCAATCGTGGACGAATGGCTTGAACGTGGTAGGAGTAGTGCTTCAGGTTTTAATTTTTCTTTTTTAATCTTTCTTTTGGAAAAGAACCTTTCCCAATCCTTTTATTTCTTGTGTATTTTTAATTATTTTTCTTATGGGTTCAGAAAGTCACCGGGAATTAGAGAAAAATTTTAGTTGACATTCTTGTTTTTTTTCTTTCCTTTCCTCATTGTCATTTTTGAATTTTAATTTCACCAGAAATCGAATTTTTCTATGGCTACATTTTAAAAATTCTTTTTCCAGTAATGGTTGCCAGCCACAATTTGGATAGTATTCGTTATGCTGTGGAGCTGTCTAAAAAGTGGAAGATTGCACCAAGTGAGTTTTTGATAATTTAAACTGTCGTGTGTTTATTTAATCTTTTTCTAAAGGTGAACGAGTCATCTGTTTTGGGCAGCTGTATGGAATGTGCGATGTGGTGGGTTTTAGTTTTTTTAATATTTTTGCGGTGAATGAGTAAAATGGTGTTTTGTGTTTTCATTTTTTTCTTTCAAAGTTTTGAGGAGTTTTTTGTCATGAAGAGGGTGTTTTTTTGTTGTTTCAATCTGAGCAAGTTTGTGTAATTGTGCTTGTGTTCTGTTTTTTAGAGGAAAATGTGGGTGAATTATGAGGTTATTAGAAATTAGAGGTGGGAGAAATAGAGTTGAATTTGTTTTTGGGAAGAATGGAGGTGAATTATGCTTAAACTAAGTATCCCTTTTTGTTTAGATGTGTGTGCGTTTTAGTTTTTAATTGTTTACTTTGGTTTTTTACGTGCAAAACATAAGAAAAATATTGAAATATTTTAAGAATGGTGTAATTTATAAATGGTGAAAGAAAAAAAAGTTTTAGAAAAATGTAAAGAAAACGAGGCACAAAATTTAGGGGAAAATAGAGGTGAATCAGTATGTTTAAAAAATAAATTATGTTCTTCCAATATGTATAGGTCTATCTTCAATTTCAAATTCTTCTGTAGCTGCGCGATTTCCTTTTTGTTTATGTGAAGCATGTAAAACTGAAAGAAAGTTTTGTGTTTATTTTAAAAGAGCTCCTTACATGCAAACATTCCGAGTAAATACAATGCAACAACTGTCCATGCCATATAAACCTAAATGTGAGAGCAGGGATAGGGGTTATTTCTTGAATTTTTTCGTGATTTTAATTTTTTGTGATGACTTTTTTTGTGGATTAGTGTTAATTGTATTTTTTGTGACTTTTTTGGGGGGTTTTTGTATTTTCGGGGCTTTTCTTATCATTTTTTTGTAATTTTTGTTAGTATATTTTTGTTTTTATTTTGTTTTTTTTACTTTTTTTTTTATTTTACCGGAATTTCAATTTCTTGTCCGGATGAGTAGTCCCAATTTCCTGGTAGATGAGAACGTTCGGCCACCTATTTTTAATTGAGAATTTCTTTGTTTTCCATTTTTTGGAATTTTTACCTCAAGATTCCATTCATCAACTGAGTTAATAAGTACTTCAATTGTTACGACAATGCACATTGCTTTGAAAAAATTTTTTTATGGGAATTTTGGTGGTTAATTCATTAAGTCATACCAATAATTAAGAATAAAAGGCCAACAACCCTTTTGAACATGTATCTGTGGTGACTAAAAAAATTTTCTGGGTTAAAATAAGGCAAAATTTTAAGATAATACCTGAATGTATATAATGCCATTCCATTTGCAAATGCCATCATAGCAATTGCGATAATAGAAAATGCTGCTTGTACTCGATAATAATCTGTAGATTATAATTAAACATTCATATTAAGGTGTTTAACTTACGTTTTAAATAGACACCCGCTAATCTTGAAAATCTGTCTGAAGCTGGTTCGGGAAAGTGTGAAATCCACTCAACTATAATTTAACTTTTTTTTTAATTTTTCCAAAATTTATCAAACCTCTTTTTGAAGTATTTACTGACCGATATTCACCCCAAACACCCAATTGAACATTAACATGTTCTTGTCTTTTATTAGTAAAATCAATTGTTGCCCAATTTGGGGAGAGGATTGCAATAATATAAATTATAATTCCAAGCTTAAGAAAAAAATTTTTTTTGGATTTTTTGATTAATTTATTAAAACCATTGTTCCAACAGTAGCTGCAGCCATTATTCTCCTCTGCCTAAGTACTCGTTTATATTCATGTAAATTAATTACTTGTGAATTTTTACATTCAACTGTTTTTTCTGCGTTGTGTAATAATGTTCTCATTATTAGGGGTTAAATATTAAAATCTGAAAATTTTTTAAAATAATTATTTTGTTAGTATTTTTTATGAATTGTTTTGGAAGGTTGTTTTTCTTTGAGTATTTTTTAAATTTTTATTTTAACAAATTCCATTAAGAATTGTTTTGCGTGTTATTTTGCATTTACTAATTTGTGGGAAAAAAGGAAAAATTTTAAATTAAAGATGCATAATAATAAGTATATTTTATATATAGAGAGATGCTCATTCTCAAGGGGATTGATAAGATATTTAGACTCGAATAAAATGTATGAAAATTGTTTTTAAATTTGTGGATAAGATAAAGTGAGGGGCAGAGGTGAGGAGTGATGAATTGTCTTGAATGTGAGGAAGCTTTTTTTAAAAGGATGCTTGTTCTTTTATTAATAGAGAGACACTTTAATTAAAAAATAGGGTAGTGACATTTTATTGAAATGAGGTATTTGAGGTTATATAGAATTTTTTTGAACACTCGCTTACGTAATTTAAGTTTGGTTCAATTACAAAAATAGTTTATTAATTGAGATATGGAAAACTTGGAAATATCAATGAATAATTTATAAAAATGCTTGTAATTGAGTGTATTTTTTTTAGCATTTCTGTTTTAATTTGTGTTCTGTATTTATTTTATTGCTTGCAAATGGCACCTCTGTATTTTATTTTTATATTTTATTAAGATATTTTTAGCTTTCTTTTTTTTGCATCAGAATATAGAAATATGACTATAAAATAAATTAAAATATAGGGAAGGGGCAAAACTCTCCAGTCGCATATTATTTCCAGCTGCTAAAAATAAATATATACATAATGTGTCTTGTGTCATTCGCAGAAAAAATTATGAAAATCTCGCGTCCCTTTTTTGCCATTTTTAGCTGCTAATTGCGTCAAAAATCATTAAATGTTTGTATAAATTTTATAATTGAATGAATTAAGTAAATTAGATTTGTGTGAGATTTCATTTAGAAAATTAAGTTTTAATTGATTGCATTAAGTAAAAGTTTTGAAGGATGATAAGGAGGCTTTGTTGTTAAATTTGAAGGTGGGGTTTCCTTTTGTGGAGGAGTTCATTTACTTTTCTAAAGTTTTTGAGGTGATTCACAGTTTGTTTGTTAAAGTGCTTAACGTTTTTATAATCCCTTGGGGTGTATTTATGGTTGTGAGTCATCTAAAACGTAAAATTAGCAAAATTTTTAGATAAAAAATTTTGGAAAGTTTTTTGCATGAACGAGTTAGGAGAAAGCTTACTTAAATTAAAATTGCGTATATGAAAACTATTGCGTATATGAATTTAAAACAAAAAATAGTTGTTAAAAATTTTTTAATTAAATTTATTTATTTTGGAATGATGCATGTTTATTTTCGTAATTTTTAAAAGTGCGACATAATAAATAAAAGTGCATTTATTTGCAATGCTTACGTAATTCGGATTTAAAAATAAAAAATTACCTAAAATAGCGCTTAAATAACATGCTTGTCCTTTTTTCTTTGACATGAAACGTTTATTTAAATATTTTTTGATCGACAAAACAAACGCAGTAATGTTTTTGAATAACTTTTTTTGTTTTTTTTGTTTTGTATTTTATCAGTTACTGAAGGATGAAATTGAAAAAGTTGATAAATAAATTGAAAAAAGAAACCAAAAAAACAAGAGAAAATGTGGAAAAATATTTATAAAAGAATTGTAAAAATGGAATAATGGCGAGATATAGAAGTGAGATTATAGCCTGACCGAATGCAATATTTTAGTAAAAAAGCTTATTTTATTGTTTAATATACTGGCAGTAAAAGCAAGTCTAAGTAAGAGAGTGTTTGTTGTTTACATTTTTCTATTTAAAAGAGAGGGTGGTTGTCTGTGAATCGATTTTGTTTTTTTTTTTGTTGTTGGTCTTTAAAGGTGGGACTTGGATTTGGCTTTTGGATTTTTGACTGACTGAGTAATGAATGAAATAAAAAAAATTTACACGTAGCGTATAAAGGGGAAGGAATTGAATGAAAACTTTAAAAAGCTTTGGCGAGAATGAAAAAAATTTTTTTGAGAAATAAAAAACAGTTTAAAATTATTTAAATAATTTTAGGCTTCATTTTCTCTTGGACAAGCCGGATATAGCGTCTACAAGTAAGAAGTCAATAACTATAATCTTTATCTAAAATCCAAAAAAAATGTAGATATATTCCATGGGGACCAGTTGAAGATGTTCTTCCATATTTGTCTCGTCGCGCGCTCGAAAATGGCACAATGCTAAACAATCTAGGCAAGGAACGACGTCTACTTTGGGGCGAATTGAAGCGTCGTTTAAGCGGTGGGCAATTTTTCTTTAAGCCTCCAAAATCTGGAATTTGTTCTTCTCCACCTGTAATTTTATCTAATGATACTGCTCCAACAATAGATAAGTTTGACATTGTACGTGGTCAATAAAATATTAGAAAGCTTTGTTTTTATTTGAGTAAAAGCTGTTTTTGATCATACAGATCATTACATTTTGAACTCTAATTTAGTTTGATTTTTAATTTGAATTTTTTTGAAAAAAATATTTTTGGCTTTCTGTCCGCGATTTGTATGACATTTCAGCCTAAGTTTAAGAAAAAATTAATTTTATTTATTAGTGATCGGTTCTTCAAATAATTTTAAATATTTTTTTAAATCACATAGATATTTTTTCGATCACTTATTTTTTTGAAATATTTTCTCTCTTTTTTGCAATATATTTTGTTCTTCTTTTAATTTTTGAAATTAAAATTCTATGCTTTATTTAAAAATATATATTCGGTTTAAAAGCTTTCTATTTTTCTATATATTTTTTTTCTGTTTTTGGGGCAATGCAAATTTTAGGTTTAAATTTTTTCCAAGTTTTTCTCTAATTTTTTCTCTATATATTTTTCTTTGCCTTCAATTTTTATCCAAAAATTATATGTGTGCAACAAAATTATACAAAATTATCAACGTGTGCTTAAATATTTTTTTCTGACAAAAAAATTATTTTTGATTTGTCTTCATTGTCTTACATGATTTTCTCTTTTAAGACTTTCTCTCATCATTTGTCTTCTAGGTGATTTTTAAATTTTATTTTACCTATCTATGTGCAGGAAATTATATAAGACTTGTTATTTTTTCTGAAATTTTTTTTGATTGTTAAAATTAATTTAAATTTTAACTCAATTTCCTGTACATTTATTTCTTTATTTTAATTTTAGGGGTATATTTTTTTCAGGCATAAAAAACAGTATTACTTAAAGATGCCGAAAAGTTAAATTTTAAAATTTCTTCCTTTTTTTAGTTGAATAAATTTATAAAAAAATTCTTTGCATTTTATTCAATTACATTTGAATATGTAAATTGTTACTTATAAATTTTAATTTTTAAAAATTATTTTTAATAGCTTTTCAGAATAAAAATTTTCCTTAATTTTTCAAAAAAATGGCACAACCACAACAACAACAATTAATTTTAACTAAAAATTTCGCGACAAAATCCGTCGCTGGGCCAAGTAATGTGACTAGTAGCGGTATTCATGTTAATCTAACTACAACAAATAAACAATTTTCTCGACAAGTTGCAAAAAAGCGTGTGTTTCCTGCAAAAAATTTAGAAGTTCTTAGAAGTCAGCAAAATAAAATTAAAGCGCCTGGGGAGGGAGGTAAAAATATAAATAATTTTTTGAATTTATTTAAATAATTTTAAAAAATTTCAGGGTCATTAACGTTGAAGGAAATCAGAAAATATCAAAAGTCCGTTAATCTTTTAATTCCGCGTGCGGCATTTATTCGTCTTGTCCGTGATGTTTCAAATAGAATAACTGAAGGGAGAGTTTTAAAGTGGAAAGGCTTAGCCTTAATAGCCATTCAAGTTTGAAATTTTATAATTTAATAAAATTTTTATCAAACTCGTCTTTTTAAGGAGGCTGCTGAACATTACCTGGTTGATATGTTTGAGGGTGCTAATTTATGCGCGTTGCATACTGGAAGGGTTACATTGATGCAGAAGGATGTTAAGCTTTTGAGACAATTGCGAGGCGAGGTAAATGAAATATTTAATTTTTAAGTTTCTTATGAGGGAGTATGTTGTTTGTAAAGGGTATTCTGATATTGTTGTGCAAGGGTATTCTCTTGAATTATAGAGTTTGAAACACGCGGTAGGCTTGAAACCGACTTTTGGGCCCAGTAGTCCGGGTATTTAGATAAATTCCATTTTTCGGAGTTTAACCTTGATAGGGGCCCGGCAAATTAAAAAGTCTATTAATTTTATAAATTCTGCAATTTTAGGCTGACAAAAAAGCATCCACAATTTGTGAACGAATTCAAAATGAACAAAATCGGGAGAATTCTGAATGAGGTTTGGTTGTCGAATTCTGAATAATTATTTATTTTGCCATTGTTTTTTAAACATTTTCCCAATTGAATATCCCAGGTTTTTTTTTTATTTTTTCGGGTTAAATTATTTTCAGACGAATCTCTCTTTCTTGTCTTAATAATTTTCTTAAATGTTCCGTCAATTATTTTTCAAACTAGTTGTACTCGCATTAAGAAATCATCATTTTTCAGTGAGTATGAGAGAGATTCTACTTCACATTTGTTTGAATAAAAAATTTTTAAATTAAATTTTATCTTCAATTTTGACAAAATATATTTTTAAATATTTTAATATATTTCTAAATTTTTTAAACAAATAATATTTTTGCATATATGTATGTGTGAGTAGGGTTGTCGGTTCTTGGAAAATCTTAGGGTATTTGGAATTTGGAACAGAAAAATCCTCGGTTCTTTGGATATCCGGAACCGACAACTCTATGTGTGATCATAAAATTTTAAAAACGAATAATAAGCATTTTAAATTTTCGAACAAATTGGTGTTTTGTACTTGCCATCTTTTTAAATTTAAATTTTTTTTGTAGATTTGGACAATTTTTAATTTTCTCATTGGGCAGCTGGAGAAGTTCCATTTTGCTGTGCTTAAAATTTTTTATTTGTGAAAATGATTTATGCCTTTAATTTTTACAAGTTGATGGTTGTTGTCCAAATGATGATCCAGTTGTGTTTGTGTTGACAATTTTGATCGGAATTGTGCGGCCTGGTGAGGTTTCCTTTGAAAAAAATTTTTTTGAAATTTTTTTTAATTTTAAAGATTTTCTTACTTTAATTTTTGGAGCACTAGCTGTTACAGTGAGATGGCCATCAGCCGTCAAATTGCTCTGGACAAGATCTGGATGGGCATTCCTTGGCAATGTAAATTTGCGGATGAAGTGGCGCTCACTGAAAATTTCGAGGTTTTTTACTTTGAGAAAAATTTTTTTACATGCTTCCAAGAGCGTCTGATTTTTCTCCATGTTTGCCTTCCACAACTAATTGATTTCCAACAATTGACACCTTTAAAGAAGGTTTTTTAAATTCAATTTTTTAAAATAAATTTAAATTAAACCTTCAAGTCCTCTGGAGCAAAAGCGCTTACATCCATGCTAACAGAAAGATAATCGTCAGAAGATTGGAAGGAGCCGGAAGTTGCTGTTCCGAATTGGTAATTGTGAGGCTTTAAAGGTTAATTTTTTAATTTTTTCCTAGGAAATTAAAAATACCTGAACAAAAGAAGTACTTCCCAAACCCAAATCTCCGGGACTTCCAAATCCAGACATTGTAGATTTTATTGTATGAAGAGGGGAGGAGGAGAGTAGTCGAGGGACTGTTTCCTCAACAACTTTACGTTCAAAGGTACTAGAAAATTTTTGGAAAAATTTTTTTAAAAATTTAACTGGTATTCTGGGGTTATTCCTGACCCGTTACTTTTTTGCCTGTGGCGGCTCAATTAGAGAAGAATAAGGCATTTGAGCCGCCACAGGCAAAAATTAATTGATCATGGACAATCCTAATTTTTTTAATTTAAGAATTCGCTAACCGATTGTAGCTTGAACTTTGGTTGAATGTGCTCATGTTGGTTGTAAGGTGGGTTAATTAATTAAATATTTAATAAAATAGCTTTTCCTGAAACAGTTAATTAACTTTTAAAAATTCTTAAAAAAGGGTCGTTGATTGTTTATTTCAAAATGAGTAAATAAGGATTTGGCATGAAAAAATGAGTAAAAGATTTAAGGAGACATTTGTGTGGGTGTGTTCCTTTATTTCTTCCAATTATTTACCATTCCTTTTCTGATCAACAGCTGACACTTTCTATATTTTTTTCTATATTTTTAGATAAAAAAGAATGATCCATTTTTAAAAATTAAATGAGGATATTTTTGAATAAATTTATCAAATTAAGGAGACGAGATTTAGATTAGAGCCTGAACGGGAGGATCTTACGGAAATCGAGATCGTTATCTCAATAAATTTTTTCGATATTTAAAAATATTTAATTTATCATTAGAATTCTTGATAGGTTAAGAAGGATCTGAATGGATTAAGGGTGATATGGGGATTGAGCTTGATTAAGAATTAAGAATGATATTGATCTCGATAACCAAGATTTTTGTTCGAGATCTCGTCTCGGTCTGGGCTTTAGTTTAGGTCTATAAAATTTTTGGAACAAAATTTTTAGACTTTAAAATTGTTAATTTAATTACAGAATATTTTTATAAAAATTGATTTTTAAATAAAGAAGTAAATAAAGGAGTAGAATTAAAAAGATTTAAGGATAAACAGCGGATTAAAATAAGAATTAAATTATAATTGAAAATGGATCTTTTTTACTTTTATTTTATACTCTTTTTCCTATTCTCCTCCCCCTAAGCGTTCCGAGATTTTTTTTATTCTACTAGTATGCGTCATCCTTCATGCTTAGTTTCCGTTTTAATTTTTATAAAAAATATTAGCTTCTAATTTTTTTAGTTTATTTAAGTGTCATCTTTTTTAAGCTTAAAGGGGAGAGAATAGAAAAAAAATAATTAGAAAATAATGAATTAGAAAATCAATCATGAAAAATAAAAAAGAAGCTAATATATGGGGGCGGATATTTAAAAAATGACTTTAAACAACTGACTCAAAAATTTTTTAAATTTTAAATTTTAAAATAAGGACAAAAATAAGTTTTTGTGTGTTTCCTTAACCTCCTTAACAACACCCTTTGTTTTATTTTTTATCAAAAATTGTTTTTGTTATCAAAATTCCTTTATCTTCAAATATTTTTAGCGGGAAAAGATAAACGAAAAAATTTGAAAAAATTATTACTGTTTTGATGACTTTGCATTTAAAAAAATTTTTATTATGGATGGGGCGAGAGCAAAGAATTTAAAAAAAGGTCGAGAATAATTTCAAATATAATTTCTCAAAGTTTTCAAAATGAGTAAAGGAATTTATATATTTGAGTGCTCTTTCCCCTTCCCCTCAAATTCTTTCAACTTCTCTCATAATTTTATTTATATTCTCCTTTCCTACCAGCCGTTCCTTTTCCTTGTTTACACTATTTTCTGTTTACTTTCTAACTCTTTCACCTTTTTTTCTGGGAACCTCAGAAATTTTAAATCGAGAGATTATCGATAAGTTTATAATCAAGACTTGAGAACTTTCTAAAAATATTTTTTAACTCTTTTAAAACTTGGGGCTTTCCGGCTCTTGAAAATTTTGAGATTTTCGTCTTTCTAATTTATTTCTCAAGTCCTCGATTCCTTGATAACTTTAAAGAAGGGTAATTCCTTAAATTCCTTTCCTCGTTTTACTATCTTTTCTCTCTCTCATTTGATCTAATCTTATAATATTTTCCTCAATTCTTCTCATCTACTCTAACACACATGTGTTCACTTTACTAATCCTTGAACATAAACAATCGACGATTATTTCGCAATGCGATCCACGACCTTAGACACTTTTAAAACGGTTTTTAACAATGAGGGAAAAATCAGAAAAATAAAATAAATAAAAATAATATGGCCAAAAAAAAGTTTGAGGGTAATTTTGTGGCTTTTGATTAATATAAGAATTATTAATATTGGTTGATAAATAAAAAGGTATGGAAAGCCTTGTGATTCCGCTGTTTCGGGCCAAAAGCTGCCTTCTTGGCTTAGTGGGATAGCTAGGGATTCTCACCCTTTTATGGGTCAGGCATGATTCCTGGTGGTGCCAACTATTTTTAAACAATTTATTTACGGAAAACAAATTTTAGAAAAAATATAATGTCTCAAAAACATATGTGCCCTTTTAAATTAAAACAAAAAATCCATTACTCTTACTTGTTTCTACCACTTTTTCTATTAAAAAAAGAATGGTTGGTTCCCTAGAGAAATTTTTTCTAATTTAAGAGTTTAAAAAAGGAATAAAAAAACAATGAAAATTTTAATTTATTTAGCAAGGCTTGGGTAATTAACTGAGGGGAAAAGCACTTATTGTCTATTTAAAATTTAAAAACCCTCCCCAAGGAAATTTTAAAAAGTAAAAATTATTTTTTTTCAGCAGGAATTGACAAGCAAAGTCCGTAAAATATTGAACGTCTTATTGTTTTGAAAATCTATTAGGTATCCGGCTACTTCAACCAATTTCTCAGTTTGTGGTAAAAAATCTTTTTAAATGTAAAGAATTCTTTGTTTAAAAAATATTTTCATTTTTAAGTAAAAATAACTGGAAAAACACACAATTTCTATGCATTCGAGAACATTTCTGGCTGGGAAAATTGTCAATTTCGTGTTTGTTTTTACAGGAAAATGAATGAATGTAAAGCTATTCTTCTGTTGGAATAAAAGGGTTTTTTTGCTTAAAAACAAAAAAGGAAACGGATGAATGGGGGAGGACACAGTTAACAAAATGAAAGAATAAAAGGAAGAGGAAATGCCAAAAACAGATTTTTTTGCATCCACGAACAATTCTTAATTTCAATATTTTACTGGGTATTGCTGGATTGAGAGATTAAGATATCTTTTTTTCCTTTTGTAAGCATTTAATGCTTCTTATCTCTAAGGTGATCTTTTTTCTTTAATCAAATACTACATTTTATCAAAATTTTAATCGATACATTTTAATAAATAAATTTTATTAATTTAAAAATGGAATTAAACATTTTTATCATTGTCGATGTTTTAAACTGTTGAGGTTTTAAACTGATTTTTAGCAGTCGAGATTTTAACAGGCGAGATTTTGCCGATTCGATGTTTTGTACCGGAACCGTAATTTAAAATAAATGACACTTTATCACTAAAGTTCGAGAAAAACAAAAAAGAAAATATTTAGTTGAGAGAATATTAAAGTATAAACGTATAAGTCGGTTGAGTGCCAGATTCTGAGAGGCACCAACTACTGTAAATAAAAATATTTAGGAAAAGAAAAAAAGGTCAATTCAAGAGATTTTACAATTGGTCGATTCAAGGGAATTGACAATTGGTCGATTCAAGGGAATTGACAATTGGTCGATTCAAGGGAATTGACAATTGGTCGATTCAAGGGAATTGACAATTGGTCGATTCAAGGGAAACGACAATTCGTCGATTCAAGGGAATTGACAATTGATCGATTCAAGGGAAAGGACTCGATTCAAGTGAATTGACAATTGGTCGATTCAAGGGAAACGAGAATTGGTCGATTTAAGGGAATTGACAATTGGTCGATTCAAGGGAAACGACAATTGGTCGATTCAAGGGAATTGACAATTGGTCGATTCAAGGGAAACGACAATTGGTCGATTCAAGGGAAACGACAATTGGTCGATTCAAGGGAATTGACAATTGGTCGATTCAAGGGAAACGACAATTGGTCGATTCAAGGGAAACGACAATTGGTCGATTCAAGTGAATTGACAATTGGTCGATTCAAGGGAAACGAGAATTGGTCGATTCAAGTGAATTGACAATTGGTCGATTCAAGGGAAACGAGAATTGGTCGATTTAAGGGAATTGACAATTGGTCGATTCAAGGGAAACGACAATTGGTCGATTCAAGGGAAACGACAATTGGTCGATTCAAGGGAAACGACAATTGGTCGATTCAAGTGAATTGACAATTGGTCGATTCAAGGGAAACGAGAATTGGTCGATTTAAGGGAATTGACAATTGGTCGATTCAAGGGAAAGGACTCGATTCAAGTGAATTGACAATTGGTCGATTCAAGGGAAACGAGAATTGGTCGATTTACGGGAATTGACAATTGGTCGATTCAAGGGAAACGACAATTGGTCGATTCAAGGGAAACGACAATTGGTCGATTCAAGGGAAACGACAATTGGTCGATTCAAGTGAATTGACAATTGATCGATTCAAGGGAAAGGACACGATTCAAGTGAATTGACAATTGGTCGATTCAAGGGAAACGAGAATTGGTCGATTTAAGGGAATTGACAATTGGTCGATTCAAGGGAAACGACAATTGGTCGATTCAAGGGAAACGACAATTGGTCGATTCAAGGGAAACGACAATTGGTCGATTCAAGTGAATTGACAATTGGTCGATTCAAGGGAAACGAGAATTTGTCGATTTAAGGGAATTGACAATTGGTCGATTCAAGGGAAACGACAATTGGTCGATTCAAGGGAAACGACAATTGGTCGATTCAAGGGAAACGACAATTGGTCGATTCAAGTGAATTGACAATTGGTCGATTCAAGGGAAACGAGAATTGGTCGATTTAAGGGAATTGACAATTGGTCGATTCAAGGGAAACGACAATTGGTCGATTCAAGGGAAACGACAATTGGTCGATTCAAGTGAATTGACAATTGATCGATTCAAGGGAAAGGACTCGATTCAAGTGAATTGACAATTGGTCGATTCAAGGGAAACGAGAATTGGTCGATTTAAGGGAATTGACAATTGGTCGATTCAAGGGAAACGACAATTGGTCGATTCAAGGGAAACGACAATTGGTCGATTCAAGGGAAACGACAATTGGTCGATTCAAGTGAATTGACAATTGGTCGATTCAAGGGAAACGAGAATTTGTCGATTTAAGGGAATTGACAATTGGTCGATTCAAGGGAAACGACAATTGGTCGATTCAAGGGAAACGACAATTGGTCGATTCAAGGGAAACGACAATTGGTCGATTCAAGTGAATTGACAATTGGTCGATTCAAGGGAAACGAGAATTGGTCGATTTAAGGGAATTGACAATTGGTCGATTCAAGGGAAACGACAATTGGTCGATTCAAGGGAAACGACAATTGGTCGATTCAAGGGAAACGACAATTGGTCGATTCAAGGGAAACGACAATTGGTCGATTTAAGGAAATTGACAATTGGTCGATTCAAGGGAAACGACAATTGGTCGATTCAAGGGAAACGACAATTGGTCGATTCAAGGGAAACGACAATTGGTCGATTCAAGAAGGCAGGGTTGATTTTACGTGTATGGTTATTGATATTGGCTAGACACGATAACAACATCCTATTTTAGTCTGGAAGATTAAAAAGTATAAGGAATTGTAAAATTTTTATGCAATTTTAGCAAAACAAAATCTATAGAAAAGCAAAAAAAATTTTTTTTTGAACAATAGGCACCGAATTTGAAAAAATTTTAAAAATCTATAGAATTATTTGTTGATGTTATCACAGAATTATTTGAAAAAATTGGCGGAATCGACATTAATTCTAAAGCGCTTTTTTGATGTTGTTGTTGGTGTTCCTGTTGATTTTGCTGTGAAGAAGAAGAATGATTAATTAAATCTTCTGGTTTAAGCACATTTAGTAAACAAAAAGCGGCATAAAGAAAAGCTGTTCCTAACAAATCACCCAATGCTGTCAAATAAGGAATTGCTGCATTATCTGGATTCTGATAAAAAAAAAGAAAATTTTTTGAAACAAAATTTTAAAATATTCTAAAGATTTACTTGTTTCCATATCCACATTAAAGGCACTAACCATTGACAGATATACAACAAAATCATTATCTAAAAAAATAAAAATTTGAATTTTATTATAATTTTAATTTGAATAAAATTAAAAGAGTTAAAATTTGTGGAAGTGTAAAAAAACTAAAAATTATGAAGACCATAAACTTAAAAAAACTTTGCCTAAAATATAAAAAATCCCATCAAATTCTTAGGGTCCATTTCCCTTATTTTTTATCGGCACACCAAAAAAAATAAATTTCACGGTTGATTTGGCACTTGTTAAATGCGTAGAAAAGAAGCATTTAATCCTAAACCTCTAACATTAATATTTAATGCTTTTCTAAACTTATTTTAAAAATAATTTAAATATCTTTGCTTTAAAAATAGAAAAAAAGTTCCAAATAAGGGATAAAAAATTCAAAAATCGGTTTAAGGGAAAAAAATATTATAAAAAATAGAAAAAATTAGAGATAGGAAATTTTTAAAAATCAAGACCATGACCAGATTTTTGACCTTGCGTCAAGGAAAAATCAGTCTGGACTCCAGGCCTATCTCTAGAAAAAATAGGAAATAAAAAAAATTCTTAAAAATATTTTAAAAATTATAAACGTTAAAAATAAAATTAGCATTTTTAAACTTCAAAAATAAAAATTAAATTATTACTCAAAAAAATTTCTTTGGAATTTTTGTTAAAATATTTTTCCAAATTTTTGTTTTTAATAAAGAAATTTCCCCACATAAACAAATCTTTAGAATTTACATAAAATAAAAAAATAATAATTTTTTTGCTGTTCACGTAAAAATGCCAACGCTTTTTATATTTATTTTCTATTAAAATAAATTTTCTTTTTTTAACAAAAATTCATTTTAAAGGCACCTGCTTTTGCCTTTTTTTATTTTTAAGTATAGCCTTTGGAAAAGTTTTTTAATTGGGAGATAAAATGAATAAAAAATAGGAAACAGAAACTAGGAGAAAATCACATAATTAAAATTCAATTTTTTAAAAAAGGAACATGCCTAATAAAATTAAATAAAGCGCCAGTAAGCTCCTATTAAACGAAAAAATTAAAAAATCTCCAAAAATTCAAAAAAATAGTAGAAAAATCCACAAAAAATCCTCAAAAATCTCACAAAATCCCCACAAACCATTCAAACTATTTATTATTTAAAATGGGCACCAAACCAAGTAAATTACGTCATTTATTACATCAACAAAAATATTCTTCAAATAAAAATAATTCCCCTCAACTCAATTTAAAAAAGAATAAATTAATAATTTTAAAAAGAGCAGTAGCTGGAGCATCTTATACAGCAACAACAAAATGGAAGAATAATAATAGAGGTGGAAGTATAATAGAATTAATAGATGATATTGAATTGAATGAGTATAAACAAAATGAAGAAAATATTGAAATTGAAGAAGCAAATAAATTTAAAAGCCAGGATAATGAGGTGGATATTAGAGCTTGAACTTATTCGAAATTGGATACAAGACGGATCCGGATTTTTCAGAAAAGGCTTGGGCTATGGTTTTCAATGACCCAGGCTGGGGTTTTCCAGCTAAAACCTCGGAAACCCGGATTTTATCAAAACTTCCTGGGCCACCGGGCCCTTAAAAAATAAGGTCTATGTCCACAAGGGTTCGAGCTGCAGTTATTATTTAGAGAAAAAATTAGCTGTTTACTAAAAATTAAAAAAAATTTAAGATAATAATAAGTTCAAATATTACTGAATTTAATGGAATGATCAATTTTCCAACAAAAGAAAAATATCAAAAATATTTCAATATTCAAAAACATCAAAAAACAACTACAACACTTTCAGAATTGGCACAAATGCAAAAAGAAATGGATAAAGCATTAAATTTGTTAAAAACAAAACTAGAAAAATTGGAAGAAGAACAAAGGGTTAAAAAATAAAATTTTAGTTGATTTTAAATAAATTTTTAAGAGAAAAATAAATATTTGCGCAACAAAATGGGGAATAGAAATGTTAAAAAATTCAGTAAAAAATGATAAAATGAAAACAAAAGTATCAGAAAAGGAGAAACAAACAAGCATTAGAAGACGAAGAAAATTACAGGCAATAACTGAAGAATGCCGGTTAAGAAGTGCTTTATTAACTGATAAATTTAAGGTAGCAAAAATAAATTTTAAAAAGAGAAAGCCCCAAAAATCTCAAAAAAAATTTTTTTTAAATTTAACTCAGAATTGCACTGAATATTTGAGAGGATTTGAAGCGTTAATAAACACAATTCAACGCGAGCAGCAACAATGCAATGTCGAAGGTAAAAATTATGTAAAAATGTTTGACTTTATAAAAACAAACATTAAAAAATGCCGTAAGCACGCTTGGCCGAGTGGTTAAGGCGTTGGATTTATGATCTAATGGGGAAGCCCCGCGTAGGTTCGAATCCTGCAGCGTGCGATGATGATGAAGAGTAACTTATCGTCATTTTTTTAAACTTTTAGATGATGACTTTCTAAGAGAATTTTTGATAAAAACAGCCAAAAGACAATATAAAAAAGGACAGCTTAATCAAGCAGTCGATACTTTTTGTCAACTATTAATTGCAACAGATGGTCGTCTTCGAGTTGAAGAAATGATATTGTTAGTTGATGTGTTTAGGGAAAAGGTAAAGAATTTTTTAACTAAAATTGAGATATGTAAGGTTGTTGGGGATCGGTTAAACCTAATTAAAAATAATTTTTTTGAAAAAATAGGTAGAACAAACAAGAAGATTCCATGAAAGAATAAGTTGTGTTATTAAACAGGTAATAGAAAAATTTTTAAAAAAATTATGAAAAAATTAGCAAATGAATGATTCCCCTTATGTAATGGATGAATTATGGGGGTTTGTATTAGAAGAATTACGTGTTGATTGCGCGGAAGCATTTGAAATTGTGATGGTATCGAGAAGTATAAACAATAACAAAAATAATTATTCTGAAGAAATAAGAGAAGATAAAGTTTGAAAAAATTGTTAAAATTTGAATAAAAAATAATATTTTAGAGGCAAAAAGTTGAAGAATTAAAATATTTAATTGGGTCTATTATCTGTGCTTTATGGCTACAAATAACACCATATGAGCATGACGAGGTAAATTTTTGAATAAATTTTGAAGAAAAAACTTTGGAGATCGAGCTGGATCTGGATCCAGACCTTGATTTTCCTGGGTCCAAAGACAAAATCAAGGCATTTTTAAAAGTTCCTTGATTTTTCCATGGCTCGGGGTCAAAGTTGTTTAAAACATTTTTTGTTCAGTTTGAACAAATCAAAGAGCTTTTCCTTAATACTTTGGAACGTTATTATATCATTTCAACAACAGAAAGGATAAATAATGTACAAGAATTGTTACAAGATAAAAATGAAATTGAACTTAAAAAGAGTATTAGAGCTGTTATAAGGTGAGAACGGAAAAATGTTTTAATTGATGAAAATTTAGGCAATATCCAATGCTTACTTATACAAAAAGAATGCAAAAATTTATGTTGGAAAATGATTATTAAATTATTTGAATGAATTAAAGAATTTTTAAAATTTGTTAAGAGTTAGAAGTGTTATACTTGATAGAAGGAAATTTAAAAAAAAAAAATGTTGAAGACAAAAAATCAGAGAAAAAAGAAAAAAAATTAAAGAAAAAATGAAAAAACAAAAAAATATTAGAAGAAAAATACCCAGAAAGAACACAAATCCCCTCTTATTTAGGTTACCCATTTTCATAAATCCCAAAAGAAATTTAAAAAATTTTTAATAAATAAAACCACACCTGTGCCAATGCAGCACTCAAATATAAAGCAGTGAATAACGAGCCTTGAACATATTGTCCAGTATGTACATGTAATGAAGAAATTACCCAATTAAAGAAAATATGTCCAGGAACACAAAGTAGAAGAAAAACGCGAGCAGAGCGACTATCCTTAAAAATATTTTTTTAATTATAATATTCAGAAAAATAAAAAGAAAACCTCATCAGAAGAAAAAAATGCACGAGAAAATGAATAAAATCTTTTTATTGTCCAATCAAATGGAAGTGTACCAATTGTTGAACATTGATGATAAAAAGTTGAAAGTTTGGAAGCAGCAACGGCTGCTAAATTTCCACCAACGCCTTTAAATTTAATTATAAAATAATTTTTTTTTTAAAAAAGAATACCATTCATAACAGGTTGATAGAGAGGCATTTGTTGAAAGTTCATTACAGCTCTTTCCAATACAAAACCACCACTGCTACTAATCATCCTAGAAAAAATTTTTTTTAAATTTTTTAAAAAGATTTCTCAAAGAATTTTTAAAAATAAATTTTCAAAATATAAAAAAACGAAAAATAAACTAACATAGAAAATATAATTGGTGACCATCCATACCGAAGTACTTGACGAGCTGATGAATCACGACTAACTATAGCAATACAAATTGGAAGAATAAAAAGGAAGAGTAAAATTACGAACCTGAAAAATTAAAATTTAAAGATAAAAAGAATTTAAAAAAATTAATTATTAACATATTTAGCCAATGTTGTGTTCGATGAGCACTCAAAAACACGCTCCCAAAAACTGACAGAATTGTTAATGTTGTTAGATCACCTACAATAAATTTTTAAAAATTATAAATTTTAAAGGAAATTTCTTTAAAACAAATTTAAAAATTCATAGAAAAAATTTTAAACTCCAAAAATAAAATTAGAACATTAAAAAGTTTAAAAAATCAAGGAAAAAATAAATGCCGCTAACAGGGATCGAACCTGTGACCTTGGGCTTATTAGACCCACGCTCTAACCGGCTGAGCTATAGCGGCACATGCTGTGAAATTATTATTTAATTCCTATATATAAAAGAATAAAGTAAAAAACCTAAAGACGCAGCAATTGGTGTAGCAACATTATCGGGATTAATATCCCAACGTTTAGCCGTCATTATCACGGCAATCATAACCAACTTGAAAATTATAAAAATAAAAAAAAATTTTAGAAAAATTACCGAAAGCACCAGAGAAGCAAAAGATGCAGTACTAACAGCAGAAGCGCCCAAAAGTGTTGCATGTTCCCAATCAAGTTGACCACGAGGAATCCAAGACAGAGCCATTGCTGAAGCTGTGGCCAAAAACTAAAAGGATGAAATAAAAAATTAAAAAAAATATTAACTGTCACAACAATGGCTTGTGCTTGAATGAGAGCGATATTGGCAACGATGATAGAATATGCCTGAAAGCTGAAATTTAAGTTTCGGGGGTTAAAACCGACAATGAGACATTTTTAAAAATAAAATTAAAAAAAACCTCTTGTAAACTATCCAATTTTCCAATGTTTGATTGCGTTGAAAGACGACTAGCCAAAGTCATTTCTAAATTGCCTTTGAGGCCGAGCAATGCAGGGACAAGAATTAATGCTTGGGGAACTTCCTTAAAAATATTTTTTTAATCCAAATAAAAATTAACCTTATAGAACGCCCAATGCTGTACTTGATCAAAAACTAGACCAGCAAATACCATCCCCAATCCAGCAATTATAAAAGGAAAAAGGACCTAGAAAAAATAATTCGAAATTGGAAAATTTTATAAGAAAACCTGAAATAAAAGTACCAAAGCAGGCTCAGGCCTAGCCACATTTGAATGTCCATGAGGGTCACGCCCAGTTAGGGGAGGCAATTCAACAAATTCATTTCCAACAAAAGTGGCGTCATTATCGCTGTTGTCTTGATCATTTACTTGAAAATTTTTTAAATAATTATATTCCCAATCGAGTAAAAACAAATTTGCTCTTAAAATGAACCATTAAAATAAAATACTAGAGGGTCATTGATAAAAAAAATAACCCTTTTAAAAATGAAACATACCAATATTTTCTGTATCATCAGTCAATTCAACATTTTTAAAACTGCTACTAGCCAAGCAATCAATATTATTTTCTTCAGGTTTGGATCTTCTTTTCATTTCAATAACATCAATTTTGCCATTTGAAATATGGGGGTTAATATTTTTTGAAGAATTTGGCATTAAGTTAATTTAGCTAAATATAGGTTAAAAAATTTTAAAAAGGAATAAAATAAATGGAAAAAAACCAAAATTAAAGAAAAACTTTAAAGAAAAACAAATTTTATTAAATAAAAATAGATGAAGTAACAAAGATAATTAACCAAAATAGCTATATAGAACATTGAAGAATTATTACGATTTTTCGGTAAGATTTGTAGCAATATTGTTTTCTTTGGCAAATTGGACCTAGAAGATGTGTGAAAATTAGTTTATTAAAATCTTGAAAAATTTTTTTTATTAAAAAAGTCGAATAAAATAGAGTTGTTGGGACCGGTAAAATTTTCCGTCGCAGCTCAAAAGCTCTTATTTTTCGCTGAACCGCTACAGGCAAAAATTAACCTGCCACCAACAACATTAGGATAAACACCCTATACAGAAAATAACCCTAATTATAATTTAAGTAAAAATCACAAACCAAAGATCGCCTCATTAAATAGGCATCCTCTCCATCCGCATAATATTTCGGCTCCAAATCAGAAATCTCAAAACGCAAAGTATTCTTGTACAAACTAAGAGCCGCTCGATTGGTATGTCTGACGTGCAAATAAACATAGCGAGCGTTATAGCTAAATTAAAAAATTATCTACAAAAATCTAAAAAATAACCAACACTTCAATCATCGCCCGAGCCGCCTGATCCATCAACTTTTGAGCGATTCCAAGTCGACGGAACGTACGCTTAACAGCCAACGAAGTAACATGACCATGAGGATCTTCGTCTGCCTCCTCTTCCATTTTTGCGAGAACATAGCCAACAATATTACCTTTGTGATCGGCTGCAACATAGGAAAGTTGAGGCCAAGAAAGCTTAATTAAAGAAATTATACGTATTATTAGAATGAAAAAATAAAATTTCAAACCACGTGATACATGTAGTATTTTAATTGATAATTCTCAGGAAGACACAACAAATTACACTGCTGCATTTTTATTAGATCGTCACATGTTGCTGAACGAATATTCATTTTTAGTTTAAATTTACTGAAAACTAAAAAATAGTTTTAATTAATGAGAAAACGCGGCCCGTTATTAACACGGAAATTCGGCTCTCACATATTTAACCAATAACATATTTTACCAAAAAGGGTAAAAACAACGTTACCCCAATAAGGCCTCATGGGCAAAACGTGGATTTTTAGCCGAGTTGGTCAAATATGGTGTTGGTCAAATATGAAGAACAAGGAAAACCTCAACACCTCCAACAGAAATTCTACACTAAAAGATAGTTCAAGCTGAAAAAACATTCAAAAAACACCAAAAGCTACTCAATAACTCAAATTTTTATACAAAACAAAAAAATTTCTTTTTGTGAAACATGGAATTTTTTTAAAAATAAATATATAAAAATGATTTTTCTTTTGTCTATTATTTTAACAATCACAATTTATTATATTAATGCTTATACTTAAAATAATTTTTATGATTCTTTGTCTTCTACTTCTTCATCTTCTGCACTAAGCTGTTCACCAGAGGAATTCTCATGTTCCCCCTCCTCTTCTTGATCTGTTACTGTTCCATTTAAAGATTTTAATTCACTTTCAGCTAATACATCTTTCAAATCGTCTTGTTGCTCTGGCACCACCACTCCATTTTGACATCCACCATCTCTTTGTTTTTCTGCTTCAAGTGCTTTATCATAACCAGGGAACAAATTTTCATATTTTAATGGATCAGCCAAACTTTCTCCAACATTCTGAATAAAAAAATTTTTAAACAAACGAACTAATCGCTCATAAAATTTACTCTTTTGCTTATTCCACTCAATGATTGACTCGCCGCATCTCTCCATAACGATACCAAACGAGGTACTTGACTTGGAGCATAAGTATGAGCAAAGAAAGTAGCTTCAGGAATGCGTCCATTTTCAATAAGAATTTCCAAACATTGTTGTAAATCGCCGAGAAGATATGAAGAAAGGAATGAAACATTGTGTTGATTATTGTTGTAAGATTCTTTAGCTAATTGTGACATCTAAAAAATTCAAACAAAATTTCAAATAAAATAATTTAAAGAAAATTTTAAAAATTAGAGAAATAAAATGAGTGCAACAAGCGCTCGACGAATCTGGACTGATCTCATGAAATTAATTATTATGATAAACATGCAGATAACAGTCAGACCCGGCGAACACAGGGCTCTCTAATAAATCGAAATCTAAAAGGTTGAAAGTTGTTGAAAATTTAGTTTTGTTTTAAACAGTTAAATTTGGTTATACCAATTTATTAGAACCAGAACATGATGCAAGCAAGAGAAGACCACCAAAATCGCGAGCTTTAGCCAGACATTCACCAGCCAGTCGTAGCTCTGAACGAATAGTTGCTGCATGTGCTAGTTGTTTCCATTTATCTTCGCTATCCGATTGTTGGGCCAATTCATAAGCAACATTTAAATCTCCAAGTGAAAGAGCCAATTCGAAACGATGCTATAAATTGATTATCACAAAAAGCTAAAAGATTCACAAACTTGAGGGTCCTTGCTAACAGCAAGCGCTTGTTTTTTGAAGCCCTAAAAATAATAATTAAAATTTAAAAACAAGAAAAAATGTTGAACAAGAATTATGCATGCTCAGTGCCACATTTATTATCAATCTATCGTCAATAACACAGACCAAGAGGCTTAAATTTCATCATAGCATGCACATGAGATCGAACCTAAACCAATCCTTAATGAATGGCAAAAGCAAAACCCCCTAAACCACAAACAACTCTCTCGAGTTTTCGAGAAAAATTCTTACGAATCTTATTCAAAATCACATCGAATTTCTAAAAATAAAATGCAAACCTGTTTCTCCAAAAATTGAGCCACTCGAGTACATTGATTTTCTGGTATTGTTTTTAGAATGCGATCAGCAGAATCAAAATCACGTCGCATCACAGCAGTTTGATATTCCAAAACTGACAAAAGAATTTTATAGGAGACAATATTGTGGTCTTTGTCACAAGCAAAAAGACGATTTTCTTTTGCCAAGTACCCAAGCTAAATAAAAAATTTGAAAAAATTTTAAAAATCTAAAGTAACCAAATAAAGTGGACGATCTGTATGTGCAATAGTGACAACTTCACCACCAACATAATAACTAAGTCGGTTCAAAGTTGTTGTAAATATGAAGCAATAACCAACCCAAATTCCAGTTTTTACAGCCTCTGTTAGTTCACCTTTAAATTAAATTTTAAATAAAAATTCATAAGAAAACTAAAATCAAACCAATGACTTCGAATGCTTCTTCAACTCCATCAGCTCCAATTTCATTAATATTTACGCGTGAAACAGTTTCAGAATCATAACGCAAAATATAAAGTTGTTCATCACTTGCAATAGCAACCATATCACCATTTTCACTCCAAAAAACTTTTTTGGCAACAATTTCAATACGACGAATAACATGTCCAGTGTCCCAATCATAAAAAAGAAGTGAACCAGCAGAACGTGCTGCCAATAAATGCCCACCATCAATTCCTTCAATAGATGTATCAGGTCGAATTTGAAGGACTTCCTAAAGTAAAAAATAAAAGTAATGAGGAAACATGAAGAGAATTCCAGAAAACAACAAACCCACCAATATACAAATAAAAAAGAAACCTTGAAATTCTTAAACAGCTTAATCAATTGTGAACTTTCTTGCACTGCATACATATTTGAATCATTTGCCCATGCAAAATCAAGGCTTGAACCAAAAGATTTGTTTCGCAAAGCTGTTGCCGTATAAATTATATATTCACCATCTCCGCAAACAACAACAAAACGTCCATTTGGAGAATGCTGTAATTTTTGAGGGTACAATTCTGTTGATCCCATGTCCTTGACTGCAAGAGCAAGTCGCTCTCCATCTGAGTAATTATTAAAATTATAACGCAGATTTAAAAGATTGGAGCCCTTATACTTCCAAAAATATTTCAGTAATTGTAGAAAAATATGTGCTCAGACCTATCATTGTTACAAATATCATGATTAACAATTCATCAAAGAATTGGCTCTGATAAATTTCATCATTGCACATGAAAGGGATTGAACCCACAACCCCACCAATGGTAAGATCATAAACAGACCACTTAACCATGGACGTAATGTAAGGAAAATTCAAAAATGAATAGATAACCCGTTGAAATTAGACAAACTATGGTTAAAAATTATAAAAGAAAAAACCTTGTGCTTGCTCCAAAGTTTGTTCATCTGCTGCTCTCAAATTAACTTGTTGAACATCTGTATGCTTTGCCCACAGTAACTTTCCTGTCGAATCCATAGAAACAGCAGGTTCCTCACGTCCCAGTTTTATAGTTACCGAGCCTTCATCATAACCAATAGCAATTTTATTTGATCCTTTCTGTGCTGTTATACACCAGACGCGTTCAAGTCCATAATTTAGTGTTGTTTCAAGCCTTTAAATTAAAAACATTTTAAGATGATTTTAGTAAAAATTTGAAGTGGCTTCATAGCAAGGATGAACGTTTTCATCAAAAACAATAACTATATTGCTCTCTGAACGTGAACAGCAATATTTTAATTGTAATCATAAGCCACTTAACCAGAGTTGCAGACTATTGAAATTCAAAATTAGTACCTATTTGTATTTGCATGCCAAATACGTACAGTCGCATCTTCTGACCCAGTAACAATTATAGGCAATTCTGGATGAAAACAAACAGCGGAGACATTATGTGAATGCCCTTCAAGTGTTGCAACACAAGTTTTGTTTTGATAATCCCAAATTTTGATCAATCTGTCATCTGCTCCAGAAATTAAATAAGGCTTGTCTCCACTGTGGTAATAATCAACACAATTTACCTAAAAAAACTTTTGGTAATTCAATACAGTTGAAAAATAAATACCCCCTTCTCGTGGCCTTCAAGAGTAAAATTTGGAGTAGGACTTCCCAATTGCCAAACTTTTATTGTTTTGTCGAGTGAAGCTGTGGCAAATGTATTATTGTCTTTTGGATTTATCACTAATTGCATAACATAATGAGTGTGACCTGAGAGTTAAAAATGAATAAATAATGGGACAACTAGGGATGGGACATTAAATATAGGAAAGAGCTATTATAAAGAATGATCAAAGATGGACCTGATGATTTTTGTAATTGAAGGATGGCTCATAGAGAAGATTAGACCACAGTCATCGGAAAACAAAAAAATTTGTTCTCCAAAATCAGTGTGAATAAAATGTTTTAATCATTGCCATCTAATCCGACTAATACAAGGAATCGAAAAAATAATAGGGATGGCAGACAAAAACAATAAAGAAAAAGATCGAACGACAGAAATGGGAGTATTAACAAAATATAAGAAGCTGTGTATGAAGCTGTGTTTTCTCACAAATTCATACCAACATCAACTAAATCTTAAGCAAAAATAAACCTTCAAATGTCTGTTTTAGCTTCCATTTATCATCCCAATCCCATAATTTAATAAGCATATCATCAGAACTAGTTAGTAAAAAGGGCTGGGTTGGATGCACAGCTATCGATCGCAAATAGTCCGAGTGAGCTTCCTAAAAGTAAAGATTACAATAGAAAGCCAAAATTAATTATCGGAACCAAGTCTAAAGTTATAATCGAAACAGAAAGTCCATAACTGACAAAAGTTCCCCTGGGCCCTAGAAATTACTCACCATTTGATGCACACGTTCCAACGTGTTATAATTGAAAATGCGAAGTTGCATATCATCTGAACCAGTCGCTATCCAATTTTTGCGAAAAATGAACTTTGCAGCTCGTACAGGCAGCTCACAAACCTAAAGGACTGATTAACACATTTAAAAGAAATTCAAACAAAACCTCAAACGATTTAACCAACTGCTGATTTTCATGATTCCAAATGTGAACATGCCCATTATAAAGAGAAACTAATGTCCAAGGTTCAGTTGGGTGTAAATCAATTGATTTGACACGATCAGAACGAGCGAGTAATTTCCGTTTAACATCAAGGCGAAGTGGCATTTTATTAATAAAATTGGTTGCTTATATTTATTCTTTGCTTTCTCTAAAATGGTTTGTGTTATCGGTAGACTTTCGCCCCCTATTTTATGATTAATATAATCGACTAATAAAATTGAAGAAAAAATAAGCGGAATAACGACGTGGATGAAAAAAAAAGCAATGTGGAAACAAATAAATAAATGAAGGGACCAAAAAATTAGAGAAAAATAAAAGAGAATGGAAAAAGTGGATCCAACATATTTGACCAATTTTACATTTTACCAATAAGGCTAAAAACTTACGTTTTGTCACTGGGCCACGTTGGCAAAACGCGAATTTTTAGCCTTGTTGGTAAAATATGGAATTGGTTAAATATGAAGAGAAGGAAAAAGTTGAGAGAGAAAGAGTAAGAAATAAAAACAATATGCCAACCAGAAACATAGAAATTACAAATTTAAACCTTCAACGAGGCCTAAACGTACAAAAAAATTTTTGAGATAAAGAAATTCGATGAAAACCGATGTTTTGGAATTTTTCATACAATTATTGAGATTTTATTCGATGTGTGCGTTTTATTATTATTATTTTACAATAAAAATGAGATGAAGACGATAAAAATAGAGGGAAAAATATTAAAAAAAAGGCACTCATTCTCAGTTGTGTAGATATTTTTTGTGTGTACAAAACTGAATGAGCATATAAAAAAAATCTTTTTTTTTCTCATTGATTTTTTATTCAATGTCGTCCATTTTCCATTCTTCCACTATAAGGTGGGCGAGGAGATGGACGGGATACTGCAGCAGCGGAGGGATTTAAAAGTGTTGTAGTGCTGCTTGCTGCTGGCTGGTAACAGGGACTAACGCTTAATTGTGATGCACGACTGTCAATGTCGCCCTAATTTATATTTTTTAATTATTATTAGTAATAAAAAATTAAAAATTATTTAAAAAATTATAAATAAGTCTAAAAATTTAAAAATCCATATTTACTCAACATAAATTTTAAAAAAAATTCGTGAAAAATTAAAAAATGGGAATTACGAAACCTTTGCATGCTGCAGGATTCGAACCTACGTTGGGCTGAACCCATTCGGATCAGGAGTCCGACGCCTTAACCACTCGGCCAAACATGCACCCAGATAAGTTGAATTTAGAATAGGATTTAGCTTATTTACTGTTAGGAAAAATGTGTTCATTCCACCAATATTTTAATAAAAACAAACGAACTCTAACTGATTCGGATGTTTCAGTCATTGAAAGCTTCTCGCCAAAAATATTGCCAATTCTCTTGCAAAGTCGTGCAGACATTGCTTCTGGAAAAAGGCAGACTTCTCCTTGAGTGGATGTAATTGTTCGAAAAGGCATTTTACAGCTAACAAATTTTTAAACTAAATTTTATTTAAATGTTTTCTAACCGTTGCCTAGGACTTTCTCGTGAATTACTTCGAATGTAATAGTCCAAGTAAGTTGTGCGATATTCTATGAAATTTATGCGTTGTTTGTTACGCTTAAAAAATAAAATTTTGAAATATCCGAAAACATTTTCTACCTTGCTATCAGTAGTATTTAGACCTTTGAGCAGCACCAAAATATGTTCACCAACTTGCGCAGTTCGATAAATATATTTTCGGATAGCGCGGATTTGATTGGTCTTTAAATGAAATAAAATTTAGAAGGCTTATAGATTCTAAATTGTCAAATTTTTTGCTCAAAAAATTAAAAAAACTGGGCTACAAGTCCATTGCATGCTGCAGGATTCGAACCTGCGTCGGGCTTGACCCGGTCGGATTCTGCCTTCCGACGCCTTAACCACTCGGCCAAGCATGCAGCCATTAGGAATAATTGGTTTACTCACTAAGTTTCTCTCTCCTTTATTTAAAAATTATGCCGCATTCCAAAAAAGATTTAGAAAGACGAGCAAAAAAAACGTTTAATAACTCAGAATTCAAATAATAAGAATAAACTCACCAAACTTTCATCCTTGTCGTGGCAAATGTCTCCTAGACGTATCTTGCGCATATGGTAATATTCCGTGTCAATTGCATCAACTTGGGTTTCATCTAAATTTTAAATATCGAAATTAAAAAAAATTTTTTTCAAACTTTGTAAAAAGAGCACCACTCTAATTGAGTCATTATTTCGTCCAAACCCAAAATCAATAAAAAGTTGCCTTACAGTGCGAAATAAATCTTCATTGTACGGCACCTATTTTATAATTTAATGTTTAAAATTATTCAATTTTTTAATTTACTTTTAAATCAAGCCTTACAATCCTTTTGTGCTTTCTGAACCAAGTAAGGAATGGTTCGGCACTTAAAAAGAAATTTTTTTAATTGGCACTATTTTTAATATTTATTTAGAAATACCAACCATTCATGAAATGACTCAAGCCTTTTCTTCAAAAAAATTAATTTTAATCGAGTTAAAATCAAAAAGATTTTTTATACCTCCAATCGGCCTTTATCTGCTTCATCCTTTAAAAATAATTAAAATACAATACAAATTTTATTTATTCATACCGCTCCACCACGCAGTAATTGCCTCGCTTCTTGACGCAGTTCCCTTTCCTCATCGGTTTCTTTTTTGTTTTTTGAGGTAGATGGGGAAGCGGAGAAGGAACTTGAGGGGCCGCTTTCTGAATTTTTAAGAAATAATTTTAGAAAAATTTAAACGAACCAAGTAATTGATATTCCGCCGAAATGTAAAGTTCCAATGCAAATAGTACATGGTACTAAAATGAGTATATTTATCGAAATTAAATATTTTAAAAATATTTACCTTTTTATCAAATTCGCCTAACTGATCCTTTAAAATTAAAAAAAATATTTAATTTAATAAAAAATAAATGAACTAAAGTCCATCGCATGCTGCAGGATTCGAACCTACGTAGGGCTGAACCCCGTCGGATTGTGGCTTCCGACGCCTTAACCACTCGGCCAAGCATGCACGGGAATGCCACTCCATAAGTTATATTATCATCCATCATTCAATTACTCTCAAAGGACCCTCACGAATTGTCACCAAAAATTTCGCGATTTTTTGCACCAATGTATAGAGCAGGGCCGATAAATTATTGCCAATTTTTTTGCTTATTTGGCCCTGACTACGAAATTACAAGTTTAAAGACTTCAGGGTTTTTGACATTTGGAGCCCTTTGTATACAAAAAATAATTACCCTATGATCCAGAGCTGTAAACGCTGCAGATTTTAGAATAAATGACAATTCCGGAACAATATCCACAATAAATCTCTTGAGAATTAATTAAAATTATAAAGCTGTAAGAATATTTCCAAGTACCTGCACATTTGTGTGAGCTGTGGCTATTTTAGCTCCTACCATTTGCAGGACCCAACGGAGGTTTATTATGCCAGGATTACGCTAGAAAATAGACTATATTTTTATTTAAAAAATTACTCGAAGCAGTTCGTTTATTTCCACAGTATTTTGAACAGTATTAGCTTCTTTTTGAGGCAAATAAGAGAAGATTACATCTTCTAAATTTAAATAAAAAAATATTTTCAAGAAAAAATAAATTTTTTCTAACCAATTCCAATAGTGATAAAATCAAATTCTTGTGCAAGCTCTTGAGTTAGGATACCTTTCATACTTCCTGGACCACCTAAAATAAATTATTTTTAATTTCCAAACTTAATTTGAGTCCAGCCCTGAAGACCCACGCATTAAAGACCTATTGACTCTGAAAACCTACATATTTTGAAAAGATTATTGAGGGATTAAGCGGGATAAGAACCTAGCTTTATAAAGATAACTACTCAGTTCTGTATTTTAGAATCAATTGTGGTATTGTGTGTGTACCATAACTCCTCTTTAATCACACCAAATCCATCGATATCCCCTTAATCCCCCAGTATTTCCTTTCAAAAGTTGTAAGTCTTCGGGATTTAGATCTTCAAGGTTGACCCCCTTAATTTTAATTTATTTACGCTATTAAAAATAATTTTAAAAAATTTGACTCAAAAATAATCATTAATCCCTCTTATTACGTTTAAATATACATAAATCCTAAAAGAAAATAATACGTTCAAAAAATTAGAAAATGCCAAAATAGAATTTGTAGTACTTTAATGTGAACATATAAAGCAACTACGTAAATTTTCTTATAAACATTTGCTTGCGTATACAAAGAACAATTTTAATTTTTAAATGAAAAAAATACAAAAAAAAATTTTTAAAGATAATAATGGTTATCCGGGGTAAAGATGATCAAAATATTTTGTAAAAAAAAGTAGAGGAAAAATTTTAAAAATAAAGACTGAACTTTTTTAAACGTAAATATAGGAAAAGATTAAAAATAACAGGAAGAAAATAATTACCATATTTACTAAAAAATTACCCTGTTAATTACCCATCCATTAAAGGTATCCGCCTTCGTCTCTAATAATTATCCCCTAAGGCAGAGATTGAAACAAGGGTTTGAGTAAATTGAGCAAGGAAACAAGGTTTTGAGTAAATTGAGCTTGAGAACAATTATTTGAGTAAATACGGTAAAATTATCCAAATATATGTAATTGGGCTTATAATTCAATTAATTTCCCGGAAATAAAATTTTAAGTATTTATTTACCTTAAATAAAATCATTTTTAATTAATTCCCTCCAATAAATTAAAAATTTAAATACTTATTCTCAAACTTCCTTTCCCCTTTTTCTAAAAAAAATAATTAATTTTATTCAATTCCTCCCGCGCGTTGCTTTTTCTCTTTCTTGTTGGGTAAATAATAAAGCAACGCTCAACACATTTTCAGGGATTATTTTTTAATACTTTATATAGTATATGATAGCATATGAGGCAAAAAAGGGATTCTATAAGCGCGCAAAGTGATAATGGTCAATTGGGAGTGTTTTGCGTCATCAAATTTGTTTTAAATAATGAGGGGGAAAATTGAGACAATGAAAATAATAAGAGGAAAATAATGCTTTTTGTAAACAAAAAAACCAACCAAAAATGAAAATGACTTTAGGAAATGATTCATCCCCACCAGCACAACATGGATCCACTCCAGAGCCAACATCTAAAATAAAAAAGAGATACAGTCGAATCTCGTTAAAACAACTCTCTCGGGACTTAATTACTTGCCTCATGAAAATAAGTGAGAAAGGGAAGGAAAATGAAAAAATGGTCAGAAGAAAGAGGGGGTATACGAACCGAACTATTACCCAGCTATCGAGATTAGACTGTAGTTGTAAATTAGAGTAGTAAAAGCTCATACGTAAAATAAAAAAAACGACAAAACTTAAAAACCTAACTAAAAAGCTCATTGAAATTAATTATCCAAAAATACAAAACTTGCACAAATATCATACACAAATATAGACAAAATACAAAATGAAAGACCAACAATTAAACGAAAATAGAACCAATAACCAACAATTAAAAAGAAATTACCAATAGAAATTGGCGGTTGTAGCCTTAGTAGTCTGTGCAGATTTAAGTCAATCTCGTCATTATCTTGTGCTGCTGTTGTTGCCAATGCGTCGTTCTCACCTCTACGACGTCGTGGGACAATATTGTGTAGAAGGAATTCACAACATGGACTGAAATTTATAAAAAAATTTTCAAAAATTTTTTTTAAAGTTTAATACCTCCGAAATTTATTAGCAGGATTCTGTGAGCCAACAAACCCGTTCCAATTGTGCACACTTGGGGCGCAGCCCATCAACAACAATAAGTGATTTTCATAATTTATTGCTCTATCACAGAATATTTTACTAAAAAATTTGAGAAAATAAATAAGAGAAAAAAATAAGGAAGTAGAGTTATCGGCTCTTGGAAAATCTTCGGATATCAGGAACCAAAAAACCGAACCAAAAGCCTCGGTTCTTCGGTTCGGTTTTGCACCAACAACACTATAGGAAGAGAAAAGATAAATCAAAAAAGTAAAACAAAAAGCAATGAAGAAGCCTTCTATGATAATTTCCCTATAATAGTGATTCTTTAATAAATCCCCAGCAAATAAAATACTTTTTAGATTAGGCAAAAAAGGAAGAAGACACAAAAATGGGTGCTTTACATGAAAGGGAAGCAAAAGAGCCCATAAAAAGGAATGTTAAAGGGGAGGGAAAAATTGTTGTATTTATTTAAATACGAGTGCTTCTTCTTTTTTTATTAATGTTGACGTCCTCACACCTTTTTCCCCTATTTTTTTTTAATTCGAGAGTTAACGACTTGGCGTGTAATTTTATATAACTAGTTAAGTGAAATAAAAGATGGTTAAAAACCTATTCTTTTTGGGAAAAAAATAATTTTTAAATAGAAAAGGTTTTCTGGAGGGGGTGAGTGATTATCAAGATGATAAGAATAGAGAGAATGGTGAAATTTTTTTCGAAACCACCCCCACCCCCCAGAAAAAGTCCGTAACATTTCTTTAAATTAATTTAAAAAGAACCGAGATAATCTTCTCCATAGGTGGCTAGTCCAATAAGATCAATCCCACCAAAATCCATCACAGTACACGCAGAGCCACCTTAAGTGCCCCATCAACACCAGAAGAGCAAACGGCCTAAATTAAAAAATTTGCCAAAGATTCAAAAAGTAGACAACCTGTAAGTGATTTGTAGTTTTGACCACTTTTACTAATTCAGAAGACATTTTTAAGGCAAAAATAATCAAGTTAGATTAATGGGAGATTCTTAAAATATATACAAATGTCTCTTATGTATAATAGAAATCTTATAGTTTAAAAAGGTATAAAAAATTTTCCAAAAGATAAAGATCAAGTAAAATTTATCGATTTATTCAGACACAAAAAAGAACATTTTTGTGCAAAAAAAGCAAGCAGCAAATTGAAAAAATAAATGGGAAGAAACGAAAAAATTGAGGAATATAAGGGCAGTTAAAATTATAGCCTAATATGACATCTTTCTAGATTTTAGGATTACTTTTTTAAAGATCTTTTTAAATTTCAAAAATTAGGGAATATGGAGTGGGGGGTCTCGAACCTTTAAAATAATACATAAACCAGACTTCGTTTCTTCTCTTAAAATTTTATTTTAAATTCTCCTTCCAACTCTCTACATCATCCATTTAATTTTTTTTATATTTAATTTTATAAAAATCATTCATCCATCAAAGAAAATAGTCTGGTGTCCGACGAGTCACGTGAGGTTCTCCACGACGAGGTGCCGGATCAAATTGCAAAAATGAGTATTTGAGCTCATCATCAAGCTCGACCATAGCTGCCTGATTTCCACAACGATAACAGTAGTTGGGAGCAGAAAAAACAGTAACAACATTTCGATCATGGCACCAGTTGTAACCCTTGAAGAAAGAAAAGTTTGAAAACTTTCCAGGCTAACAATAAAAGTGACTAACCTCCATAACAAGTTGATGTGCCCGTGAGATCAAAGTAATGCCATTTGCGTGGTTAAATGTCTCAGAAATGTCCTGTCCAAAAGTATAACCAGCACCACGAGGAGATATCCCCCAACCACCACGATCATCTGGGTCAGACCAAAGCAAATCGCACATTGGACCTAAATTTGAATCTTATAAACCAAAAAATTTAAAAAATTCAAACCTTCATGTGGCACCTCCTGTAAACGTTCCAAAGATCTAATATGATCAAGTGTGTCGATGCTAGGCGAAAGACCTCCATGAAGACAAAAAATTTGACCGTCCACCAAAGCAGTAAGAGGAAAATAGTCAAATAAGTCAGTGAAGTAATTCCAAACCTATAAATTAAATGTTACAAAAAAATTTCAAAAACTTTTAAAAAATACTTTTGAGTTTCCATATTTACGCAAACATTCGTCATAAAATCCATAAACTTGTGTGATTTGTCGAGACTCGTGATTTCCTCTAAGAATTGTTACTCGGTCACGATAACGAACCTTTAAAAATTCAAAAGTTAAATATAAAAGGAAATTTTAAAAATTGTTTCGAGTTTAGAGGATAGGATCCAATCCATAAATTAGAAAAGACACCGAAGGTATAACTCGAAATAATTTACCTCCAATTAGCATACACTCAATTGCAAATTTACTTGCAACAGTGCCAAGATAGGAGGAAGGGAAGGGAAATGGATCGAACCCTGGGGCCGTTTTTGAATACCGAACTAACGCAGAACCACTTAACCAAACCCTTTCAGGAGAGAATTTTGATAAAATTTGTTTTGAATGGTTGGGCAATTTTATAAAAAAATTATAGGAAATCCTAAGAAAAACATATTTTATAAATTGTGAGTAGGGCTGGAAAAACCCTAAACTTCGTAGTTAGGGTTGATTTACTCGATTTACTCTTCATTTTCATGTTATATCCTCAAGCACCTATTTACTTCCTCATTATTTTCCTAGAGTTCGAAAGGGAATCAAACTACCAATTTTGCATGTTTTTCCCAGGCTAAATGAGGAGGAAAGAACGAAAAAGTAGTTGAACGACACCAAGACATTCAATCAAAATATAAAATACCTTAAGACAAACAAGCAGCGAAACAGTCTCCACAGAATAATAACCTCTATCAACATAATCACCCATAAACAAATAATTTGTGTCTGGAGACTTTCCACCCATTTTGAACAATTCCATCAAGTCGTGAAACTGTCCGTGAACATCCCCACAAACTGTAACAGGGCATTTGACTTCTTGAACGTTAGATTCGTGTTTGAGGATTTCGCGAGCCTAAAAAATTTAGTTAAACAAAAAATTAAAAAAGAATGTTTTTGTTCGAAAATTGTAACCCAGGTGCAAAATCTTATTTCAATTGAAAATGAAAAAAGAAGATTTACTGGGTAGATTTTATTTTTCCTCATTTTTCTAATTAAACGATAATTTAAAAAGTCGTTTAATTCTATCAAGAGGAGAGAAACAAATCCTTAAAGTATGAGAACCCATAGGACAACCAGTAAAAAAAACCATTGAAACCAAATCGTGTATTGGTGGTTTTTTGCTTCTGATTTAGACTAATGTCAAGAGCCCCGAAAACTGAGTCATACTAGAAAGTCGGACCGACTTGGGGACATCATTAAACAAATGAAAATTGGAACATCACTTCCCCCGCTAGTACGACTCAGTTTTTGAACCAAAAACGAAAAAACACCTATAAGCCACAACATTCTCCCAAATCTAAATAAAATTCCAAACCTTATCACACAACAGCTTCACTTGAATCTCAGTCAGCTGTTTACATTCATACAATTGCGCAATCCATTCGTCAAGATCTTTGGTAAATTCTCTGCTGATAAATTCTCCACCAGGACTGTTACCGCCCATTGTTATAGTTTGAGGTTGTGTTGCACTAGAACTAATACTTGCTGCTGAATTGGCAGAATGTGAATTACTATTATTTGCTGACGAAGTGACTACTGGAGCATTAGGTTTGCTATCTACTTCCATGGCTTCCATTTTCTGAAAATTTGTGCAAAAATTATTAAGAAAGTTGTAAGAAAGTATAAAATGAATCGAAAGTTTAGAGAAAAAAAGCACGAGTCAGAAGGCTTGGAGAAAATCAAGGAAAGGAACATTAAAAAAACCATATGTAGGAAAAAATGAAACGAGAACAGAAAAACTGGTAATATTCAATTTCGTACCCCCCCCCCTCCTTTTTCCTTCTTCAAAGTATTATAAAATGGTCAGTCAGACTTAGATTATAGAACTCGTCGAGCTGTGTCGAATGACACTAAAATCAAAAAAATTGGACTCGATTTGACCGAGATACAGACCCCTAAAAATTGAACAACCATAGGGGCGGTTTTTTGAAATAAAAAAATTTTATCCAAATGATAGCTCATTCGAAAGAGCTCGTCAAGATGAGTCGAAAGACACCAAAATCAACGTGATTAGACATGGTTTGACAAAGTTATGACATTATGTAGACCAAACGGAGTCGGCGACTTATGTCATAACTTTGTCAAATCTTGTCCAATCACGTTGATTTTTGTGTCATTCGACTCAGCTCGACGAGCTCTTTCGAATGAGCTATCATTTGTATAAATTTTCGTCCTTATGGGTTTTCGCCCCTATGGTTGTTCAATTTTTTAGGGGTCTGTATCTCGGTCAAATCGAGTCCAATTTTTTTGATTTTGGTGTCATTCGACACAGCTCGACGAGTTCTATAATCTAAGTCTGACTGACCATTTTATAATACTTTGAAGAAGGAAAAAGGAGGGGGGGGTACGAAATTGAATATTACCGAAAAACTTTTGAAAACCCCTAAGAATTTTTCAAAATCCCTAAAAAATATCAAAAATTCGAAAAAACGCGACTTCTCGAGTTTTCTGAACTCATACTAAATACGAAATTTCGCAAAACAGAACTCTTTTCTTACGCAAATTCATGAGAACTAACGGAAATCGTAATATTTACCTAACACCTTTAGCTTTTTGATTCACTTAATGAGAAAAATGACCGAGAAAAATTTTTTTTTTGTTTTTTCCACCCGATAAGCAAGCTAGTAAATGTATTTAACAAGCATACATACATTTATTTGTACAACTTAATAACCAAGTACTAGACAAAAACCCCCATTCCCTTTTTATTATAGTCGCTAGGAGACTAAAAAAAGAATGGCGACTAGCAAGAAGCAAAGAATCTTTCACAATTGTATTGATCCCGGGAAATAATGCACTCTACTTAACACACGGAGACAGTCAGACGGAATAATTTATGGCGTCTTTTTCATTTTGTCACATAGAGGAAATATTGCGCTTCGCCACTTTATACTGTGTGTGGTAAAAATTGAAGATAAAAATTTTGGACGTTTTGAATTTGGCATTTTGTCATGATCGCATTTGTCTCTTAAGGAAAATTTCAACAAAGAAAAAGACAAAGAAAAGAATTGCTGATATGGAGAGTCTCAAGAAATAGAGCAAAATATTTATTTTGATATTTGATCAAAAGATAGACGCATTAAAAGATAGATTCGGCTAAAAACGGTTAAAAGATACACAGCCAGAGAAGCGGTGCATCTATCTTTTAATCGATTTTTGCCTTGCCTATCTTTTGTCGCATCTGTCTTTTGTATGTGAGTCTTTATTTTTATTACGAAATATCTACTTATGAAAAATATATCAAAATGTCAATTAAAATGTTGAAATTTTTAGACGAATTGTATCTTTTTTCTCTATTAGGTATTTTGTCTTAATCCTTATAACGGTACACCTCAATTGAGTCCGCACGATTGAGTCCCCACGATTGAGTCCGCACGATTGAGTCCCCACGATTGAGTCCCGGCACAATTGAGTCCCCACGATTGAGTCCGCACGATTGAGTCCCCCTTGTATATACCTCAATTGAGTCCCCGTAGATTTAATTATATTAAAAAGGATTAAGAGGGATATCTGGGGATTTGGGGGGATTAAAGTGAACATCAGGGGACCTGTATGTGACATCGAGGGATCAAGTTGGATATCGGTGAATATTAAGAGATATAAGTAGATTTAAGCGATTAAGGGGGATATGGGTGGATATTGTGGATTTGGGGATTAGGAGGGATATCGAGAGATTTTTTGAATGACAGCTCATTTGAATGAGCTGAGTCGAATGACACAAAAATCAACATGGTTCTCGCCGAGATATGGGGCTCGAAATGGTCAAATCCACGGGGGAATTTTTGGGGACAAAAAATTCGAATATTAAATTATACCTCATTCGAAAGGGCTCGACAAGCTGAGTCGAATGACATCAAAATCAGCTTGATTCAATGATTCTGAACAAAGTTATGACCAACTGAATCTGCGCTGGAAAACTGTTTTGTGCTGCTACGGAGGGTATGTGGGGTGCAGCAGGGGTGCACAGGTGGTCTGTCCGGCATTTATATTTTAAAAAATAGAAATTTTGAAATAATCCCGCATGCCGGATATGGAAATTTTAAACTTATTAAATCCACGGGGACTCAATTGAGGTATATACAAGGGGGACTCAATCGTGCGGACTCAATCGTGGGGACTCAATTGTGCCGGGACTCAATCGTGGGGACTCAATCGTGCGGACTCAATCGTGGGGACTCAATCGTGCGGACTCAGTTGAACTGCTCCGCCTTATAACAATTAAAAAATTGGTAAATGTTAAAATGTAACCGGATATTCTCTTTTATTCTTTTAAGAGAACAAAAGGATTAATTGTTTTTTATTTGATTAATTAAACCAATTTAAGATGTGGCCTTATTCTACTTATTTATATCTTCTACTTTAATTAACGCCTTTTAAAACTTTGTAAAAATGGTTCTTATAAATCACTGCAATAATAATTCTAACAACACTTCTACAAATAATGGCGATTTATTATTATCCGCTTCTTCGGGACGACCATTGCCACCAAATTGGGAAATCTCATATACTGAAAATGGCGAAAAGTTTTTTATTGAGTTAGTTTATATTTTTAATATTTTTACTGTATTTTAGCATAAGCTTAAAGGAAAAACAAATGAGAGTAACTCAAGTTCTTTACGTCTAGGAACTTCTGCCTCCATACAAAAATACAAAAAAGCTCATTAGATAACACTAGAAATAGGGAAGTTTAAAACCTTGACTCTAGTTTCATTGAGGATTTTAACCAGATTTTTGCACTTTAGTCAAGGAAAAATCAAAGTCTGGATCTGGAGATCGAGATTTTTGAAAAGCCAGGGCCTGTTCCTGGACTCTGGCGTTTGATTTATTGACCTGGGCCGGATCCTGGTCCTGTAGTCCAAAAAGAACCCAGACCCAGAGAAAACTCAGGAAGGCCAAAAAATGGCTGGGCCTGGACTCTGGGTACAGGAAAAACCCAGCCTTGATCCAGGTCCAGCTCGATCTCTACTGGCGATCCAGGCCCATCTCTAGATATCACATCCTATTTCTCCTAACAATTTTTTAAATTTTTTAGTCACAACACCGGCACAACAACATGGGACGATCCACGTGAATCAATATCTACAACTCCCGCTACTTTAACTGCTGCTGATTTTTATGGATGCGATATTGAAGAAACAAATGTTGACATTAATGGAACATTTTTTTATGAGTGGGTTTTAAATTTTTTATATTTTTCCTTTGTCTTTGGGAATTAGTTTGGGAATTTCCACATTAGATTTTGATTTTTGACCACCTCCAACTCTTCCTGTCTAGTTTTTGTACTTTTCTTGTTCATATAATGAACTAATATTTTTGAAAACGAACCAATTTAATACTCTTATTTTATGGTTTTTGATCATTAAAAATGACAAAAAATGACAAAAAGGAATTATATTTTGCCGAATATATTGACCCAAAGGGAGAAAGTGGGTGTCTTTTAACATTAAACATGGGAGGGCATCCATTAATGAATTAATTTTCCCATAAATAATTTTTAAAATGGATGGTGTTTGACTTTTCTTGTTTTTAACTTGAATGCTTCATTCAATGGGCATTTATTTAATATCCCATCCCCACCCTTCCCTATTTAATTTTCAGTTCTCTTAAGATTATAAGTAGTGCTTCGAAGCTCGAACCTAAATTTAAACTCGTACTTGGTACAAAGTACGAGCAAATCTGAAAGTTCAAAGCACTGATTATAAGCCTATCTTTTTCAAGCTTTCTTTACCAACTTGTTTAAATTTTTTCTTAATTTTACTATCCATTGATTTTTTTATTTTGTAAAAAAACACTAGTTTTTATACCCTTTTTAATATAAAAATTTAAACAAAATAAATTTGGAGACCCATTACTGCCTTGTTGCTTAATCAGATTTTGAAAGCCTTGCTTTTCCTCACTTCCTCCCTTTGGGCCATCCATCCGAAATAGACTGAAAGCAAATTAGTATACTAAATAAAAAAAGACTTGTTTTGCTTGACACTATCTACTTTACACACTTTTCACTACTTTTGGATAAGGAAAAAGGCATTTTCATTGCTAAATTTCTTTCTAAATTTGTGGAAGGGGGGGGGGAGGGGGAAATGAAGCTATTGGGGACAATTGTGAAAAGAGTCCAGTGGCTTTTAGTTTCTAATTTGGACTAACTCATCACTTGTAAATTTTGGAAGGAACTAGATTTTTGCTTTTAATTTTTAATTCGTTTTTAAAATTTTCTATGGTAATCTTTAACGCCTTCATGTAAATCTCGCTCTCTTAAATTTTCACTGGCATTGACTTTCCAAAAGATTTTTAAATTTAATTCCCAGATTTTTAATTTTATTAACTTAAAATGCTTCAAAAACAATTCCACGGTGATTATTTATGCCAACGTTGTGGCTGCCTTAAATCAAAATCTAATGGTGCACTTAATAATTGTGTACCAACAACAACCCATAAAAATATTAATGGGAGTGAATTACTTGACCAGCTTGTCTTTTTTCGGTTCTCTAACTCATTTGAAATTTGCCTAGAATTTAAAATAAATTTAAATTTTTAATTAAATTTCAAATTAAATAGGCATGGAAATCGACCACAACTCCAACAACAACAAAGCACTGAACGTCCATCCACTTTGGGTCCTTTCAACAATAATTCTGCTTCAATTACAAAACAACCATTGCCTTATGAAACAGTCCAGTATTTGCATGCTGCTAGCACTTCAAATGCTTCCTGTGAGGAAATTAAAGATATGGTGGGTTTATTATTTTTTTTGAAATACCTGGGTTCCTAAAAATGGAGGTATTCCTTTAACATCTTTCTGAAGATTTTTTCTGATTTTTTTGGTTCATAATTCATTAGGCTAGGAGCTATTTTTGGCTATTAATCTTTTATATTCATTTGGGGTCTAATAAATTCTTCACTTTTTATTCGCTAACTTGCGCATTTTCTTGCTTAGATTTTATCTTTTATTTTTTGGAAAGAAACACCTAATAATTATTTTTTATCTCATTTTCTTCGTTATTTCTGTTATTTAATAATATTGATATAAACAATTCTTTATATTAATGCCTAAAAAATATTTTTTTTTGTAAAAAAATATTTTTCAGTTCCTTTTTTGTAGAAATCTCGTTCTCATTTTGAAAAAGAACAATGAATGGATTAAACACTTTTCACGCGATTTATTTTAAAAATATTTGTGGCACCATTCATTTTTTCGCAGGGGTTATGAGATGAATTTACTTCCCGTTTAAGCATCAATTGAGTTTAGAACAGGGTTGGACGCAAATGAAAAAAATTTCCGCGCGGAGTCCACAAGTCAAAAAAATATGCAGCAAAAAAGCGTCCGGCCCAGGGTGCGCAATTAACATTGAAAGTTTTGATGTTTTTTGTTATCAGACGAAAGAAATTTAAATTTAAAAAAATATGCGAAGAATTTAAAAAATTTTAATTAGAGTAATTTTTGAACTTTGAGCTCTTAATTTATTCACTCAATTAAAAAATTTTTTTTGAAAATTGCTTTTGAAGTTAATTTAATTTTCTTTTTATTCTCTTTCAGCTAATTTTTTTACTAAATTTAGACGAATTAACAATTTTTTAAATTTTCTTTGCTTATAAGTCTAGAATTGTCTGTTCTATTTTTCCTTGATTTATGGTCTTCTACCTTATTTTTTAACAAAAATAGGGATATAATAAAAATAGGAGTCCCGAACGAGATTTCGAAGAAAAATCTCGGTTTGAGACGAGATTTTTTAAGATATCAGTCTCGAATCTACATCGACCCTCCTAGGCTGGTCTCTAATAAATTATCATTTTTAGTACGGCAATAATAATAAAAACGGTTCTTCTCAACAACAATTTTGGATGAAACGTACTAATGGTGTTGAACCTCCTTCTAGAGGTGAGTATTACTGATTTTCTCGACTTTTAAATTAAAAATATTTTTTTAGAAAGCAATGGATGTTCTATGCAACAACAGCACCCTGGATTTATCTTGCCACCAAACTTTGTGAGGGTTTTTTAAATTTTTTGCTAAAAATTTTTAATTTTTAGTCTATTTTCACTCGTAATCCTGCCGAATTAATTGGTCAAATAATTAATGTTCGCATACAAAAAGGCTCAAAAGGATTAGGTTTGTCGCTAATTGGTCAGGATGGGACTCATATACGTGATGAATTTATTCAAGTAAATTTTTTAAATATTTTTTCAATTTTATAGTTTTTACTGGGAAAATAAGAAGATTCTGAATTTTTGAGCGCCACAGTCGAAAATTTTTTGAATTTTGTAACCCAATAAGCTAGATTTCCCACTTAGCTACGCCCTTGCCAGTGGTGAATCTCGAAAATATAGAAAGAGCACACTTTTTATTTTTGGGACCACTAAACTAAATTTTTACATTTTTCCTTTTTAGATCAAAACAATCATTCCAGAAAGTCCTGCATATGCTGAAGGTACTCTTCGATCTGGAGATGTTCTTGTCTATGTTAATCAGCACGTTTGAAAATTTTTCTTTTTATTTTCTTCATTTGCTTTTAGTGTATGCTAGGAGCCAGTCAAGATGATGCTTGCCAACTTTTTCGTTCAATTCCTATTGGTGAAGTTGTCCGTATTCAAGTTTGCCGTGGATATCCATTACAATTAGATCCAACTAATCGAGTAAATTTTTTAATTTTTCTAAGTTTTTAAACTTATTTTTTAAAGATTTTTACGGAAAATGTTTACGCTCAACACCAACAAAAGGCAAATTCCTCTTCAAATATATTGAGGCCTTCAAGAGAAAATATTGAAATTGAGATATGTAAGGGTCCCAATGGTTTTGGATTTACTGTTTATGATGATGCTTTAGGTGCGAAAGATTTTCTCAATTTTTGAATTAATTTTCTAATTTAAGGTCAAAGAATAAAAAATATTGCATATCCAGATCAGTGTCCAAATCTGCTTGAGGGGGATACAATTGTTGAGGTTTAATTTTGTTTTAAAATTTTCAAAAATATTCTTTTTTAGGTTAATGGCCAAAATGTTCGTTCTCTTCCACATCCACAACTTGTACAAATGCTACAAAACTTCCCAATCGGTTATCGTTGTAAAATGAGAATTCTGAGGAGGGCTCAGAAGCAACGGTTTTCTAAATTTTTTCACCTTTGAAATTAAATTAAATTTTTTAAAGTTCTCGAACTCCAACGGCAGGATTTCGTTACGGTTATCGCGGTGATGTTGCTTCAGTAACAGAACAATTACAGCAAATGCACCCAAATTGGTCTGCGCCAAATAGTGGAAATCAACAGCAACAACAACAACAAAAGGTTTTTTTAAAAATTGATTTGAAATAAAATTATTTTTTCAAGTTTGTTCCTCTATTTACTCAACGCTCAAAAACTCCATTTGGCGGTCAACAGCAGCAGCCACATTTACAACAACAACGTCAAACTTCAATGTATTTTCAACAGGAACCAATAAATCCGGGTGCTGATGCAAATATGGACTATCATTGGAATTGTATGACATTACCCAGGGTTTGATTGAATTTAAAGTCGAAAATTATTTTTTATAATTTTAGTCGACAAATAAAAATCAACAAGCACAACAACAACAACAAATTCAACAGCAACAACAACTTCCGTCCAATAACAATCTTTCAATGAATCAATTTATAATGGAAAATCGTCCACAACAACACCAACGAATCCGTCCCTCCTCGTCAACTATGGAATTTGGGAATGTTGGAAATTTGGTGAGATAATTTAAATTTTTACATTTTCTAATAACTAAAATTCAAATAGAATGGCCATTTTGCAATGCAATCTGAAAAAGTTGTGGTCAATTTATTAAGTCAATCAAATGGTTTTGGTTTTCATCTACATGGCGGGGCTGATGTAATTTAAAGTTGAATAAATTTTAAAATAAATTCCTTCCACAGAATCAACCTCTTCTAATTGGTTCAGTAATCCCTGGAGGAGCAGCGGATTTAGATGGTCGTATGCGTGTCGGCGACCAAATTATTGAAATTGATGGAGAAACTACAATGGCAATGCAACATAAACAAGCTGTTGAACTTATTAGACAGGTTAATTTTATGATAAAAATTTTATGATAAAATATATTAATTGAATAATTTTCAGGCTTCTACTGTTGGCGCTGTTAAGCTAACCTTACTCAGACATCGTTCACCTCCTCCTATTGCAGAGGAGAATTTTGGTCAATTACGCAGAAATGGCTCCGCTTCTGCAATTTATGCTGCTAGAGGTTTATATTTTGGAATTTTAATAATTAAAAAAATTAATAAATTCAGTTCCATACGATGTTAAATTAATTAAAATGGAGAATGAGACTGATTTTGGCTGTACAATTGTTTCACACAAGTATCGCTACATTGGTATGAAATTTTCTGATAGGATTCTATTTAAATTTTTTTTATCCATTTTTGCAGTTTCTCTTATGCCCAACAGTCCAGCAGGTCGTTGTGGTCAACTTCGAGTAGGTGATTGTGTTGTGGCAATTAATGGGATGTCGGCTGACATGATGAGTCATCAGGTTTTTGAATGAAAATTTTGACTTTAATTTATCTTTTTAAAGCAAATGCAACAAGAAATCAGTTCTTCTGGCGCATCTTTAGTTTTAACAATTGATCCAGCAAAGCGAATAGAAGAAGAAGATGGAATATCAGGAAGAAATATTTCTTCAAATTATATTCAGATGGGTGGTGGAAATGGCATTCAGCAACTTCAAAAGCAAAATGTAAAATTTTTTTTTGTTTTTAATAAGAAGAGAAGGAGACAGAATTTTTTCACGAAATTATTCAACTGAATTTTAGTTGAAAAATGCACTCGTGTTTCTTAATTTTTTTAAATTCCATTCAGGATTCCCATCAACCCTCACCATATTCTACACTTATTTCTGTTCATCTTAAACGTTCTGATCGTGGTTTTGGTTTTTCAATTCGTGGAGGTTCTGAATTTTGTATGGCTCTATTTATATTGCGTATAGCTGATGAAGGGCCAGCCGCTTTCAGTGCTATGCAGGTTTTTTTTTAATTCAATTTTGGGAGATTTAAACTTTAAAAACAAATTCAGATTGGGGATCAACTAATGAAAATTGATGGAGAATCCACCGAAAATATGACACATCAACGAGCAATAACACTTATCAAAGAGCGTCAAGAGGTTGATTTACTACTTAGGCGAGAGAAAATTTGAAAAATGAATTTTAAAAAAAAGATATAATAAAAATACTTAGGTAATATTCAATTTCGTTCCCCCCTCCTTTTTTCCTTCCTCAAAGTATTACAAAATGGTCAGTCAATCTTGAGTTATAGAACTCGTCGAGCTGTGTCGAACTTATTTAGTTTCCCACCCCCAGTCAGTTTTTCCAAAAATTATGTAAAAATGGTCAGTCTGAACAACAATTGTAGAACCCATCGAGCTGTGTCGAATGACACCAAAATCAACAAAATCCGACTTGATTTGACAAAGTTATGACATAAGTCGGCGACTCCGTTAGGTCTACTTCAGGTAATAACTTTGTCAAACCATGTCTAATCGCGTTGATTTATATGTCATTCGACTCAGCTCGAAGAGCTCTTTCGAATGAGCTATCATTTGGATAAAATTTGTTTAGTCCAAAAAATCGCCCCTATGGTTGTTCAATATTCAGGGGTCTGTATCTCGGTCAACTCAGGTCCGATTTTTTCGATTTTAGTGTCATTCGACACAGCTCGACGAGTTCTATAACTTAAGATTGACTGACCATTTTGTAATACTTTGAGGAAGGAAAAAAGGAGGGGGGGGGGGTACGAAATTGAATATTACCAATACTTAATTAAAAATTGCCTTTAAATCAAAACCACAAAAAATCTTCAACGCATTTTTTACTCTATTATTATATTATGTGGGCGGATATATCGGGATTGATGGGAGAAAATTAACTTCTTGCGGTTTTACGTTGGCTTTAAAACTCGAGAGCTCTCTCCTTCAATAGAGCAATGTATTATCCAACCATAGGTCCTAAAATCAGTAATATGTCCGTCCCGATATGTCCACATGCCTATTATTATGCGGCAAGTAATTACTATACATATTACTTTTCCCTTAAATTCTCAATTTATCAAGTTTATTTTTCCTTTATTTTGGCTGTTCGGAGTGGTTTTTAAGTTCCCGTGACTTCCCTGCCTTTCGCTGAAGTAACCGATAAATTCCCTTTTTTCAATTTAATTGAGCAGATATTTAAGAATTTCAAAATTTTGTTTAAAAAACTCCGAGCTGCCTTAAATACCTATATTTATTTTACAACAAAATATGTAAAATCTTTCTCTAAAAATCCACAATTTTTTTTATATATCATTCCTTAATTTTTTACTTAAAAATGCTGCCTTTTACCTCCTAAAAATTCCATTAACAATTTACTATAAATTAATCCTTTTTATTGGATAGCTTATACGCATTTTACTACTTAAACAAGCATAAAATGATTGAAAAGATTTTTTTGAATTTTTTTTATAAAGTGTTGCACTTCATTTTGAATTTTTTTACCTTTTTGTGACTTGGACGTTTTGTCTAATGATTTTTCTTTAAAAAAATTTTAGTGCAGAGAGCTTTGTTTTTGGACTTATTTTTAAAAGAATATTCGGAAGGATGTCTATGTCAAAATCTTCCTACACTTATAACAGAAAAACTTTTGAAGATGCAGAATTCCCTATTTTATGTGAAACATGTCTTGGACCAAATCCGTATTTGAGAATGGTATTTTTATTTTTAAAGAATTTTTAAATTTTCTTTTTAGTCTAAAGATGTCCATGGAGGCGAATGCAAAATATGTGAACGCCCGTTTACTACGTTTCGTTGGATGCCAGGCAAAGGCTCGCGTTATAAAAAGACTGAGGTTTGCCAGACTTGTTCAAAATTGAAGAATGTTTGCCAAACTTGTTTGCTCGATTTGGAATATGGTTTGTTTCTAATTATTTTTTTTATTTTTTAAACCAACGAGGGGATCTTTCATTCTATGCGTACTGAAAAATTCTGTTTTATAACATGTTTATCCCGTCATTAAGGGTTTTTACTAGTGATCGGACCGAGACGAGACCTCTATCTAAAATTTCGGTTGTCGAGATCAGTATTTTAGAGATATATCTCACAATCAGTTCTTATACTGCACTCCTAGTCCGCTCTCTAATTATCTTTTTCTTAACAGGTTTACCAGTACAAGTTCGCGACCACGCTCTTCAAATCAAAGAACAACTGCCTAAACAAGGGGCCAACCGCGACTTTTTTATTCAAAATGCGGATCGTGCATTGGCTCTAACTGATGGAACTGTCCCCTACGGTCAATTGGCAAAAATTACGGATGCAGGGACAAATGAAATGTTGAGAAAATTGGCTCGTAACCAGCCATATTATAATCGGAATTTGCCTCATATTTGTTCATTTTTTGTCAAAGGAGAATGTTTACGTGGAGAAGAATGTCCTTACAGGTTTTTTTTTGTTATCTTTTTTTTTCCATTTTCAAAAAAATTTCTAGGCATGAAAAACCAAGCGATCCGGATGATCCTTTATCCCAACAAAATTTGCGTGATCGTTATTATGGAAGTAATGACCCGGTAGCTGATAAATTATTAAATCGTGCAAAAGCGTTGCCTAAACTTACACCTCCAGATGATCCTTCGATAACTACTCTATTTTTGGGAAATTTAAGTAGAGATGATAAATTGGTTGTTACTGAAGCTGATATTAGGTTTGAATGTTTAAATATTTTTTTGAAATTTAATCACGAATTCATGGGAATTGCTTTAGTTGGGTCCCTAGAGCAAAACTTGAAACGATTCAACTCTTTCAGTTCAAATATATGAATTTTCTGGAAAAAAGTCTTGATTGTGTTCACAACCAGTTTGACAAGAGGAATCGAATGGCATGTATTTCAAGCTTTGATCTCGGGACCCATATACTTAAGTACATCCATTTTCCTTCCTACAGCCCACCTAAATTTTTTTCTTCAAATTTTTAATATTTCTTCTCCAGAGACTATTTTTATCAATTTGGAGAAATTCGTCAAGTCCATGTTGTCCCGCAAAAAGCATGTGCATTTATTCAATTTACGTCAAGACATTCAGCAGAAATGGCTGCTGATAGAACTTTTGAGCAACTTACTTTAAAGGTTAAATTTATAACATTTGTTTTTTACAATTTCTCTCCTTTCAAGGGACTCAAAATCAGAGTTCGTTGGGGTCAACCAAAATCACAGCCAATGACTTCAACTGAAATGAGCAACCGAACATTCGAGCCAGTACCAAATCTCGCTGATCGTAAGTTTTTTCGATTTCTTGTTTTAACCTTTTTGACATTGACCATTCTGAACTCAAAAAATTTTTGTTTTTAGCTTGCCCTATACCTTCATATGCTTATGACAATGGCCCAGGCCCTTCAAAACGAACACGATTTGAACCAGCACCAGGAGAACAACAAAATCGTTCGTTGATGCCACCACCATTAATTGTTCCGAATGTTCCACCACCACAAATTGGAAGAGAAGGACAACAAAAACCGATTGATTTAGTAAGGAATTTTTGTTGAAAAAATTTTTTTAATTTAAAAAAATCAAAAATTTAGCGTGATGTAGTAACTAGTGGAAAACAACAAAAACCACCAAGTATTTATTACCCTAGCCAGGATCCTCATCGTTTGGGTGCAAAAGGAGATGTTGTTTAATTATTATATGAGAGATGAGAAGGAGGGAGGAAGTGATTTTTTGCTTGTTTAAACAGGGGATTTATCAGAATTTGGGTATTCTTATGTTATTTCCTTCCACTTTCCTTCTCCTTTGAAGGGAATTTTTGGAAGAAAACTTTTTTTACTTCTCTTTTTTCCTATCGTTCACCTTTTACCACCTCTGAGACCATTCTTTAATTTTAAGGAGCAATGAGAAGGACAGGAAAATGGAGGGGGAGAGGATAACCTAAGAGTAGCCCTTCAATTAAAATTCAAACTTTATTTAAATATTTTCGTAAACTACAATTTTTTGAGAATTATCAATTAAATATTCCCTCTTCCAATCATTTACTTTTATTTAATGCCAATTTTTCGATTAATTCGGCAAGAGGTTCTTGTTGCTTTTTATCAATTAATTCAAATTCATTTGCAAAAAGAATGAAGTGTTTAAACTTAAAAAATAAGGGGAAATTTATAAGAAATTAAAAAATGTCTTACAGAAGTATTTAAATGAGCAACAGCAGCTAATTGTTCAATTAAATTAAAATGTTGATGATAAACATGGGAATAGACACGAAAAAGTCTTTTCATTATTGTTTGAGCAATGTGTTTGAAATTGGATGGAAATGGTTTTCCTTGTGAAAAAAATTTTTTTGGATTTAAAATAAGTTTCAAATAGAAAGAGACCCCAGATCCAGGGATGTCACAGGTTACCCCTTTTTTCGACCCGGAATCCGATCCGAAGAAAATTTTGATGAAACGGGCCCAACTTTTTTTCTCAACCAGTGGCATCCCTACCCTGACCTTTAAAAAAGAACTTTTAGGGGACTTTTCATTCTAATTTATCGGCCTGCTTTCGATCACATGGGTCAAAAACTAAAAGCCCCGGCGGAATAAAAAACCTAATTGATTCAAAATCCAAACCAATTTGTGAAGGAAAAACATTTTCATCGTCCAACTCTTCTTGTACCCAACTTAACATATAATCAATATACACATTGGCTGGGCATGGTTCCATTATTGCTCCTTTACTGTCTGACCTTGAAAAGAATTTTAATACTTTAAAATAATCTAAAAATAACCAAAAATATTCATAATCTTCCCCAGCGATCATCCGAGGACATGTTTCATCAGAACAATGTTCAGAAATCATTCCATAAAGCATTGAAACTTGTCGAAAAAAATCGGAAACTAAAAAATTTAGAAAATTGAAAATATTTAAAGACAAACTATTAGCAGCAATCCATTCATTTTCATCCTCTCCATAAGGCAAAAGAATTATATCCCGTAAATTTCCACTTCCAAGGGTTGCAGAAGCTTGTCTATTTTTAAAGTTTTTTTTGTTTTAAAAATATTTTTAAGAACCTTAAAAGTTTAGCCTGTTTAGTATTTCCATTTTCATTATTTGAGACATTTGGAATTGATTTTCCGGCATCCTTTGCTGCGTTGGAGCGCTCCATCGGAATTTAGAAGATTCAGGGCTTTTCCTGAAATGTTACCGTTTATCAGTTAAAAGATTAATTTTCGAAACGATTTTCCTTATTACAAAAGTAAAATAGTGTATAAATTATTTGGTAGAGAAAAAGGCAAAAAAAGACTAGTGAATTAAAATGTGGTCAGGTTGAGAAAGAATTAATTTATTCGTTTATTTTCAAAACATCAACTTTAAAAAATGTTCTTTTGTTGACAAAAAGTAGAAATTTCAATTATGTGGTGTTTTGTCATAAATTTTTTTGTCAATGATTTAATTTTGTTAAATCCGATTTTATTTTTGGGGTTCTTTTTTGTTTTTGTTGACTTATTTTCTATTATTTTAGGCTTACTTTAGTTAATTTTTAAATCATGTCACAACAAGCGATTACAAAGAAGCGTAAAGCTATTCAGGATGGACTTTTCAAAGCGGAATTGAATAACTTTTTGATGAAGGTTTTTTTGTTATTCAAGACATTATCCATGTTTTCTTAGGAACTCGCCGAAGATGGATATTCTGGTGTTGAGGTGCGTCGTGCTCCTTCCCGTACTGAGGTCATCATTATGGCGACACGTACCCAAAGTGTTCTTGGAGAGCGTGGCAAGCGAATTCGTGAATTGACCGCTTTGGTTCAAAAACGTTTTGGATACGCTTCTGGGCAAATTGAGGTTTATTTAACTTTGGAACATGATTTAAACTTAAAGCCTATTTTCAGCTTTATGCCGAAAAGGTATCCAGTCGTGGTCTCTGTGCTGTTGCTCAATGCGAGTCTCTTCGTTATAAGTTGGTTGGTGGTCTTGCAGTTCGACGTGCTTGTTATGGTTTGTTTTTTGTTTTCTGAACTCCTTATTTTTTTATTTGGGATGACTTAATATATAATTTCATAAAAATTTTTTCAAGGTGTTCTTCGTTTCATTATGGAAAGCGGTGCTCGTGGATGTGAGATTGTCGTCTCCGGAAAACTGCGTGGGCAACGTGCAAAGGCTATGAAATTCGTTGACGGGGTAATGATTCACAGCGGGAATCCAGTCACCGAATATATTCAAGAGGCTGTGCGACACGTTCAAATGCGTCAAGGTTATCTTGTATTTTCCACTCTTTTAACTTTTATTTTTAAGGAGTTCTCGGAATCAAAGTCAAAATCATGTTGCCACACGATCCGCGTGGACAACAAGGACCCCGCAACCCGTTGCCTGACAACATCTCGGTATATTTAATTTTTTGCTTTTAGCTAATTTAACATTACAGGTTTTGGATCCTCCAGTTGAATCTGTTCCGCAGCAGCCATATTCCGAACACAAAGAATCCCCACTGCAGCAACAACAACAACAAGCTTCGTATCCAATGCCAACCCATGAATTGGCTCCTATTGGTGTAGTTAGTCAGCAGCAACAGCAGGGAGGTGGAGGTGGTGCTGAATGGTGTGGGTTTTAATTTTGGGCCTTATTATACTTAAGTTTATTGTATTCACTAATCAAATATTTGTAGGTTAGGATCATTTTTCTATGAAACCATTAGACCCCAGAAGGATTATTTAATTGCCCGAACGCTACTCCAAACATTAGTGCGGATTAATTGGGATATCGGTGGATTTATTGGGATTAACGGCGATTAAGGGACAATAAAATCCTCCGTGTAACTGTTAGATAAAGCAAAAAGGAGCAGGCAACGTACTTTCGGTCTTGAGCTATCTTATCAGTCTAAATTTTCGGAGTTGACTTTTGGAGTTATTTGATCAATTAGGAATTTGATCTTTTGGAGGTAGACCGGGGGTGGACCCAATAGATAATCCTTTAGTCATCATTTTCTTATTACCCTCCTTTTTTCTTTTGCAGGAGTTATTAGATTATGGGAAAATGTGTTGAGGGGAAGATGACTTGCATTTTGCGATAAGAGCAAGAGAGAGAGTTGATGGAATGTTATATTTGTTATATTATGTTTTTTTGCTCTTCATTTTATAATGATTTTATTGGGCAAATATATACTTGTTGAATAAAAATATTTTTTATTATTTTTAAATATGTTATATTCATTTATTTTACTTTTTAATTTTTGAAATAATTAATTTTTGAAATTTTATTTAAGTTAGCTTTTTATTGCTTGGTGGCTATTTCTGATTTGACAAGAACGCCTGCTGTGGCTGAATAACGATAAGGGTGAGGATTATTTTGAGGGATTTGGGGTTGGATAAAATGGATTTTTTGTTTACTTGAGTAAACTCAAATATAAATTTAGAAATTTTGACATGCTGGGTAAATGGGTATATTCGTTAAGTGCGTACATTTGCATTTGATGAATATTTTCTGTCGTGATTTCATATCGTTTAATCCTCTTTCTTTACGTTTAATAACCCGAAGTTATTAGAGGGGTACAAACATTGGATTTCCTATTTAACATTTAATACATATAGGGTTGTTGGTTCCTGGAAATTCTTCGGATATCCGAAACCGAACCGAAAATTTTTATGGATGAGCATTGTCTCAAAATGTCGTCTTGACGAATTAGAAATGATACCACACTGAAAAAATCATGAATTCAGAAAATACTTCTTTTTTGGATGTCCGGAACCGAACCGAAAAATCTTCGGTTTGGGTCGGTCCAGAACCGACAACCCTAAATATGAGAATTAATAATTGATTAACTTCTCAATCTTTAACATTATCTAAAGATTCGTGGTGTTAATTTATAAACACTAGTTCATTTTATATTTTTATGAAATTTTAAAGACTAAACGACTATTTTCAACGACATCATCTCATACATTTACAAATTTGAAGACGAACTTCATCTCCACAATTAGCAACATCAACATTGTTAACAACTTCTAACTCGATACCTTCGCCCATTTCTTAATGCGGAGAAATAAACTCAACGACGATCTTCGCCCATCTTTTGAACTCATCTTGAGACAACTCAACAACGATCTTCACCATCTCAATTGGTGAGACAACTCAACAACGATGTTCACCATCTCAATTGGTTAGACAACTCAACGACGATCTTCACACATCATTGGTGAGACGGAATCGAGAAGAAGAACCTGAGCGTCGCGAGAATAGAATTTGAAAATTTGATAAATTTTCATTTTATTTTGTTCTTTTTTTATCTTAATGCTGAGAAATAAACTCGAAGGTTCCCTCCAAAATTAATATAACCAAACCGAAACCTTCGAGTTTCGACAGCGTTATTTTATAAAGATAAATAATTTTTATATGATTTGTTTCTTGACGTTTGTATCGTTTACGAAATATTTTTATATATTCATCATGTTTTTTTAATCTTTCGTTACTAGAATTTTTAATTCTTAACATAACTAGGACTTCATATTTTATAAAGTACTAGTAGATACTAAAATTCATTCAATTCCCTTGTTGGAGTTTATCCACCATTTTTAGTTATTTATAATCTATATACTTTTGGAATTTTGAATTTTGTATGACCTTTTTTATGTTCTCCTCAAATTTTTGCGATAATTTTCTTTCTTTGTGTGTTATAACTTGTAGTCCGGTACTGTGCTTGTGTACCTAACTGGTTGAGTAGACTATTCCTTAAAAATTTTTATAGGAGTAGATGAACTTATTCGAAATATTATTGATAACAAGCACAACGTTGGCATAGTTTCTAATTGCAGAAACTGATGATTGCCGGCGTAGATTATGGTACACACGTACAGTACCGGACTATAAGTTCTAACACATTGTGTATTTATTGCCAAAAATTTGGGGAGAAAATAAAAAGAGTTATACAAAGTTTAAAATTTTCCCAGATTTTCATTGTTAAAAATGAACGACGATCAGATTGAGGAACAGTATTGTATTGGCAAAAATGTGGTTAACACAACTAAAGCACCGGCAGCAATTGGTCCTTACAGGTTTCTTTAAAATTTTGCAATCGGGTCATTCTAAACGTTTTTTAATCTTTGTATATCTTTGTCCTTCACAGCAACATAACCTGCAACTTAGAGTCGTTTCAGTGGCACTGAAATAAATAAAAAAATTTCCTCTTTTTCTATATCGCTCTATTTTTTTCGCATGCTATTTCTCTAAAGATTTGATGTATAATTTCGAGAAGCTTTATCTCGGAAAAAAACTTTGAGAAAAAAATTTCAACTTAGCCAAATCGTTAAACAAAGTCTTATCTTTGTTTTAAAACCAAATTTATTGATTTTTAATATGTTTTAAAAAAGTTACATATGGCTTTATAAGTAAATTTAGAAAATGAAAAATAAAGGAAAAAATTGTTTTGAAAAAATTTATTTTAATTTAAAATGACATTAAATGTTAATTAGAAAAGATATTATTAGGATTTCCTTATTATATAATTCATTTTCACTGAAAGGATTCGAACCTCTTGCATTTTTCGCTGCCACTAACCAACTAAACCATACTCCCGCACTGAAACGCTGGTTGCACCCTCTGCCTGTTTTATGTTGCTGTGTCCTTGTTTCCTTCACATTTTCAAAAATTTCCCCGGTTCAAAGAATTCCATCGGTTACAGGAGTTTAAAAATCAATAGAATACTTTCGAAAACAAAGCAAAACCTATTAGATTTAATTTATTTTTTTAGCCAAGCCGTTTACTCTACTGGCTCAGAGCATTCTGGTAAAAATGAAGAAATCTGGGAAGCTCCGCATTATCTTTTCCTGAGTGGTCAACTTGGCATTGTTCCTAGCACAAATGAATTCGCTACTGGAGACAATCCCGTCCATGCTCAAACTGTTCAGGCAATGAAGAATATTGAACAAGTTTTGAAGGCTGCTCATAGTTATGCTACTTTCGATAACAGTTTATTTAATCTTTACAGTTTTTTTAAAATTTCATTTTCTAGTTGTAAAGACGACAATTCTTTTGGTTGATATGAATGCTTTTCCTGTTGTGAATGAAGCCTACAAACAATTTTTTGATGAGAAAAAGGGCTATCCTGCGCGTTCTTGCTATCAAGTATTTTTTAATTTTAGCTAGTTATTTGGGGACTCGACACCTAAGTCTCCAAATTCCTCGATATGTATTCCCTTTCAAGATTTGTAGGTCTAAAGGTTCAATAGGCAGGTACTTGTGGTGTCTTTAGGGGTATACTCAGCCCGCCTCAGGTCAATAGATTTTTTCAATTCGCCTCAAGAATAACCCGTCAATACCCTCATTTCTGCTTAGATTTTAATAATTATTTTTTTAAAGGTGTCAGCATTGCCCAAAGGTGGACTTGTTGAAATTGAGGCTATCGCTGCTTTGTCGACAAAATCGCAGAATACGCTTTGGGCTTAGATTGGCTGAAGATGAAATTTCAATAGGTTGCCATATATGGAATATATCTTGTGTTAGCATTCCATGCTATTTTCGTGATAATTTATTTAAACAGATTTAATTTTATCTGCTATTTAGAGTAAATATATATTTTAAAGAAACGCTAGTTTTGTTTGGGGTTTTTTATCCGTTTAATGACGGTGAATATCTCATGAATACTGGCTGATTCCGTTTAATCAGCCAGTAAAGGTTGATTTATAAAATTCAATTTTCCTTAACATTTTTTGCGACTCTAGTGTCCTGCGAAACGAAAAGTTATCGAAACGAAAAACATTTTTAAGAAAATAGTGTGAATAGAGAAAAAGAGGAAAATTGCTTTATTTTCCGGAACACTCCTTTGTTTTTTATTTTTTGTTCCTGCAAATTCTGGTTGGGTTTTCTACTTTTAGGGATGATTAATGAAAGAAAATAAGAATATTTGTTTCAGAATTCAAAAATCTTCGTTACTTGGCATAATGCAAAACATTAAGAATAAATGACACTTCATCCCAAAAATCAATAATCGATTTTTGATGTGTCATTTAGTGTTCTCTGTTGACCACTTATAGCAAAAGTGTTCGACAACAGAATCCGTGGCTTTTCCTTTTTTTGGGATTAACCTTTTTAGGGGGTGGGGTGGGGGGTAGTTATGACTTGCGGACAAGACTTGCTTTTTATAATTTTTAAAAAAATGTAAACATTTTTTTTTTCAGTACTTCAACAGCAACACAGCAAAAGCCCCGGAGTCTCTTCGGAGATATTTGGGCAAAAGCCCCGGAGTCTCTTCGGAGATATTTGGGCAAAAGCCCCGGAGTCTCTTCGGAGATATTTGGGCAATGGCTTCACTCCAACAGTGCAACGATTAAACTCCAATGCTCTCGTCTACATGGTTTGTTTTTTACTTTATTAAATCCGCAAGTTTTGTCCGCAAGGTTTCTCCCCTAAATGTTTATCCTTTCCCAATGTTAAAGCCAATTAAATGATGGCCAAGTTCTTGTCAAATGAGAAGACATACAGCAGATGTTCCATTGGTCAAATGCATTGATTTGTTTGTTTTGAATGGTTGATCTTTTTATAGGTTGTTTTTATCTTCAAAAATTTTTTTAATTACTTAATTTTCAGCTTTGAGAAAGTATCCAGAAGCCTTAAAAATTTCTAAGAGGTTATTTTTAATTATTTACTATTGTTTCAAGATTATTTTTAGGCCGGTGAATTGTTGCGGGAAGACCGTCTAGTTGATGAGTATGCTCTGGAAGAACAAGAAGCAGCAGAAAAATGACTGAAGAACTCCAAACTTTTGATAGAATTCAGAAAATTAGGTTTGGAAATTAATTATGGTTATTTGGTTTCCACAATTTTTCGTTTATTCAAGTTTTACCCCTTTTTAAAACCTTTTAATTTTCAAAAAATCCCCGTTATCAATGTCTAAATTTCCGTTCAGTTGCTTCCCTTGGGTATTGTGACTTGTAGGTGTGTTCTTGTTGGCCCGATAAATTGTATGTCGTTCGAAAAGCTCGACCATCTGAGTCGAATTACAGCAAACCGGGACACGCCCAAGTAGGCGCGCGGCCAGGTAGGCGCAAAGCCATAACTACCTCGAAAATTTCTGGACCTTAGCTTGGTACCAATCTCTTTAGCTCGATGAGAGGAATCGTTTAATACCAAATTTAATAAGATTCGAAAATCTTGAAGCAAGTTATGGCTCTGCGCCTACTTGGCCGCGCGCCTACTTGGGCTGTACCCCACCAAACCAACGCGATCTAACAAGTTTTGACCAAGTTATGCTGTTTGTTTAAGCTCCTTATTTGTGGTCAGCGTGGAGGTTTTTGCTGCTGTATGCCGGCCGCAGCTATTATAGGTTTATGATACCTAGTTTAGGGCCCAGTGATCGTAGAACCCCAAGCGCTTTTTGTATCGTAAATTTGTACAAAATTGTTGGATAGCGTTGATTTTGGTGTTATTTTTATTTTTTTTAAAGATTGCTGTATCGGCCCAAATGTATGTATTGGTGCAAGTGTAAAAATAGAAGAAGGTGTTCGTCTTGTTGACTCTTCAATACTTCCAGATACTACAATTCATGCTCACAGCTTTATTTCTAATAGTATTGTTGGGAGAAAATGTGTTGTTGGTTAGTTTTTAATTTTTTCTTTTCTGAATTTTTTAAAAATTAAAAAAAAATGGAAAAAATTTTATGTCCGCAATAAATTTGCGGACAAAATTTTTTGTCCGCAAAAATTTTTTTCTCATTTTTAATAATTTCTTCCAATTTTTAACAGGTAAATGGGTCCGTATAGAAAATACCAGCATTATTGGTGAAGATGTGGTTGTTAAGGATGAACTTTATTTGAATGGTTTCTTGAATTTCTTTTAAGAATTTCTCTAAATCTAATTAAAGGTGCTTGTGTTCTTCCACACAAATCAATTGCCGCAAGCGTGCCAAATCCAACAATTATTATGTAAAAAAGATTGACAAAAAAGTGCTTTGTTTTTTGGTTTTAAATGGTTTATTTTTTAAAAATGTTAAAATAAGGGAAATTCGGGGGGAGGAGGGAGATTGTTCATGAATGGAGGGGGGAGAGGTCTCTTCCCAAAGGGGTTTTCTCAAAATCACGTCTCTTCCACATCTTTCGGGATTTTTTTTTCAAAATCAGCTTAAATTTTCTTTTATTTTTCAATTTTCTGGGGTCTGTATCTTGGCGCAAAGTTAAGACCAGGGGTTAATTTTGGTGTCATTCGATACAGCTCGACGAGTTTTATAACCTAAGACTGACTGACCATTTTTAATACTTTTAAAGCGCAAAAAGGAGTGGGGGTCTCATCCGAACTATTACCGGGTTTTTTTCAAAATCAGTCTATATAACGTAAATTGGGGTTAAATAGGCCCTCCCAAAATATTTTTTTGAAAAACATTCGTGGACAATCTCTCCTGCGCACATTTTGTTAGAAATTTTTTAAATTATTTTAAGACCAACGTGATTCTAATTTCTTTTTTTTTTAATTTAAATATTTTCCTTTCATTTTTGTTGTCTTTTTTGACTATCCTTTTCTGTTATATTTATTTTTTTATTGTACAAATTAATCTTTCAACAATTTTTATTTATTTCTAAAATTCTAAAAAAGAAAATTTTCACTTAAGCAATAATTAAATACCAAAAATATATTTTTTTTGAATTTAAAAAGAATAAAATTATACATTTTTATCTGATTAAAAATTGTTTTTTCTAGATTTTTGTATAGCTTATTTGTAATAAATGCGACAAAAAATCGAGATTAGCGGTCGAGATTTTTTAAAATTTTCTTTACAACTTTATTTTGTTCTACAACTGTCTGTAGTCAGTTTAGTGTGAACATCAGACGAGGCTCGTTAATTCGATTTTATACTAATATTTCGAATTTGACGCTAGAAGAGAGAATCTTTTAGTATTTTCAAATCGGTCGGTCCGTCGCACTGAACTGTCCTTATTTTCGCTCGCACTGAACTGACCTCAACTCTCTAACTGTTTAATGTCTCTTTATTTCCCGTACTCTTTTACATTTATTGATTTTATTGTTTAGACATGAAAAACAAGAACTGGTTAGAGAAAAAGAATTAATTTTTCCCACGGCAAAGTAGTGAAAATGTTTTTCTCTGACCACTACATGTTTGTGTTGTTACTTCAAGTGTTCTAGTGTTTCGCCGGAACCACAAATTTTGACCGGACCGGACCTTCCGACGAAACACTAATGTCTTCCCAATACCAATTAAAAACTAGAAATCCATAAATCGGTTTAAAACCGCTATATCTTTTTACCATATAAGAATATTAGTTTCAGAATTCAAAAATCTGCGATATTTGGCATAATGCAAAACTTTAAGAGTAAATGACACTTCCCAAAAATCAATAATCGATTTTTGATGTTTTTTTGGAGTTCTCTGTTGTCCATACTTAGCAAAGATGTTCTAAACAGAATGCGTGGCTTTTTCTTTTTTTGGGATTAACCTTTTTAGGGGGGAGGGTAGTATTGAGTTGCGGACAAGACTTGCTGTTTTCTATTTTTTAAAAAATTATACATTTTTTATTCAGTTCTTCAGCAGCAGCAACAACAAAAGTGTCAACAGCAAAAGTCCCACTCTTCGCTTCGGCGATATCTGGGCAGACAAAGTCCCACTCTTCGCTTCGGCGATATCTGGGCAGACAAAGTCCCACTCTTCGCTTCGGCGATATCTGGGCAGCCAAAGTCCCACTCTTCGCTTCGGCGATATCTGGGCAACGATTAAATTCCAATGTACTCGTCTACGTGGTTAGTTTTCGGAACTTATGCAGTTTAAGTACACACCCCATTTATTCGCGAAGAAAGTTTATTACAAAATGGTCAGTGAATTCAAAATGGCCGGCTCATCGAGTTGAATCGAATGACAACTTATCGGTCCATGGGGACATCTATGAGCTGATTCACAGAAGTCCAATAATGTCTAGAGAAACGGGTAACAATGACCAATATTTTGATAAAAATCTGATTCAAAAACACGTAAAAATCCCGAAAATACTCAAAAAGAGGATCATTAGTTATGAAAACTCAGATCTGGGTACTTTAATTGCCATTTAAAAGTTGAAATTAGTAAAAATAAGAATATTTATTCAATGTTAATTTTAATTTTGGTGAAATTGGAAAGAAAAATTAATCTTTTCTTTGTTAATGACTCTCACTGAGCATGTGTAACAGCAAAAATTGAGTGAAATCGAGGAAAAATGAAAACCATTATGTACATAAATATTTTCTTTCGCAGCTGAATGTCTCTTTTCTTCGCGAATAAGTGGGGTGTGTACTTAAACTGCATAAGTTCCTAGTTTTCTTACTTTATTAAATCCGCAAGTTTTGTCCGCAAAGTTACTCCCTTTCCGCATAGGGTAATTTCGAGCAAGTTTTGTCCGCAAAGTTACTCCCTTATAAAGTTGATTTTGCTGGTATCCATAGACATCCACCACATAAAAATAACAAAAGCAGTAAACCGCATATTCTAAAAATACCCTTTACTGATACAAAATCTCGTGATACTTTTTTATACTCATTTCGTAAATGTGTCAAATCTCTTCCTAATGTTCCTAAAAACATAACAGCCAGACGAGATATGACCCAATATGAATTAAATATTCTTTATAACCTTCGTAAACAAGCTTATGACCTTAATGTTCGTGAAAACTTATTTAAATACTTTGTTGTTGATTTAGAAATTCGTAAAATGTCACAACCAAAACCTCTTAAGGTAAAAAATGTTTCCGCATAGGGTAATTCGAGTAACCATACTGGTAATTTAAAAACAACTTTAAACTCTAATATATTATCCTGTTTGGCTTTTAATGCACGATCTATAAATAATAAAACCTTCGAACTCCAGGAACTCTTGGAAAATAACAAAAATAAAATAATACTAATAAACGAAACCTGGCTTAAAGAAAATAACATTATACATTCAGAATTTTCACTTAAAGGACAGTTTAACCCAATATTTGCTAACAGAAAACAAGGTCTTGGGGGCGGCTGCCTAATACTCATTCCCTCCGAAATTCCATACAAATTAAAATTTACAGGCACAAAATTTAAATGCGAAATTATACATTTAAAATTACTTATACAAAGGGGTATTGAAATTTTTTGTGTATACCGACCACCAAAATGTTCATATGATGAAACCAAGAAACTAATGAAATATATCTCATCTAAATTAAATTCTAATGCTTTAATCTATGGGGATTTTAACATTCCTAAAATTAACTGGGATACTATGGATTCAAATAATGATCTAGGACAGTTACTTATTGATTTCTGTTCTCAAAATGAAGTTTACCAACATATAAAAGAAAATACAAGAGATAATTCAATACTCGATTTACTTTTCACAAATCCTAAAAATCTTATTGAAAACTATAATATTTCTGCTCCTTTCTCAACATCTGATCATAATATGATCTCATTCATTTTAAACGTTAAATTCCATAGAAAATCCAAAAGTAAAAAATATATTAGAAGTTTTAGCCATAAAAACACAGAAAATCTTAGAAAATACATATCATCTATAAATTGGAAATACATACTCGAGACAAAATTCACCACTAATGATAAGTATCTCATGTCCGCAAAAATTTGCGGACAGAATTAAAAATTTTCATTATTTAATAATTTCTTCCAATTTCTAACAGGTAAATGGGTCCGTATAGAAAATACCAGCATTATTGGTGAAGATGTGGTTGTTAAGGATGAACTTTATTTGAATGGTTTTTTTTTAATTTCTTTTAAAAAAATTTTCTAAAATTTAATTAAAGGTGCTTGTGTTCTTCCACACAAATCAATTGCTGCAAGCGTGCCAAATCCAACAATTATTATGTAAAAAAAAAGATTGACAAAAAAGTGCTTTGTTTTGTGGTTTTAAAGGGTTTATTTTTTAAAATGTTAAAATAAGGGAAATGCGTGGAGGAGGGAGATTGTTCACGAATGGAGGGAGAGGGGTAGTTTATAAATCATTGGGGAAAGTTTTTCAAAATCACGTCTCTTCCCAATCTTTCGGAAGTTTTTTTCAAAATCAGTCTATAAAACAGGAATTGGGGTTAAATAGGGCTTTTCTCAAAAAAATTTTTTTCTGAAAAATCATTCGTGGACAATCTCTCCTGCGCACATTTTTAGAGACAAATTTTTTAAATTATTTCAAGACCAACGTGATTCTAATTTCTTTTTTATTTAATTTCCTTTATTTTTTGTCTTTGCTTTTTTTCTCTTTTGTCTTTTTTTTCTCGTTTTATAATTTTGCTTGTTTTTAGCCAAATTTTATGTGTTTTGAATAAAGTTAAATCACTCGTCATTGAATTATCCTTTTTTATTATATGTGTACATAAAATTCAGTCAATTCTCCAGAAAAATATTTCGGTTTTTACTTGAATACCGGACATAGAATTCGAGGAGGCCATTTCTATGTTACCAAGACTCAAGTAACCCTCTTGTTTCGAAACTGCTCTGTCTCCCAGTTTCAGGTAAGTTGGAATGTAGTAGGTAGAGAAGAAAAAAGTTAGAGATAGTTAATGTGCTGTAATGTAATATTAAAATAAACGGAACGTCCCACTTGTGTACCGGCCGTTTGTGTACCTGGCCATATTTTGGGCTATAACTTTTTCAATTCTTAATTGATTTAAATAAATAATATATTAATCGAAAGCCCTGGATGTGAGGATTATTTTCGCCAACAGAATTGATTTGATCAGATCATCTTACAAAAAGTTACAGACAGATAAAGATCAAAATCACGATTGAGCGCATTTATCGAGATATAACTTTTTATAACATGATCTGATCAAATCAATCCTGTTGGCGAAAATAATCCTCACATCCAGGGCTTTCGATTGATATAATAATAATTTAAGTCGGTTAAGAATCAAAAAAGTTATAGCCCAAAATATGGCCAGGTACACAAACGGCCGGTACACAAGTGGGACGTTCCGTTTATTTTAATATTACATTACAGCACATTAACTATCTCTAACTTTTTTCTTCTCTACCTACTACATTCCAACTTACCTGAAACTGGGAGACAGAGCAGTTTCGAAACAAGAGGGTTACTTGAGTCTTGGTAACATAGAAATGGCCTCCTCGAATTTTATGTCCGGTATTCAAGTAAAAACCGAAATATTTTTCTGGAGAATTGACTGAATTTTATGTACACATATAATAAAAAAGGATAATTCAATGACGAGTGATTTAACTTTATTCAAAACACATAAAATTTGGCTAAAACAGGGCTCGGATTCGTACTTTATTTGAAAGTACAGTACTTTAAAATCGACCTCCGTACTTACGAAATTGAATTTGTACTTTATTGAAAGTATGTACTTTAAAATCAACATTTTGGATTGAAAATGAAATTGGGGAAGGGATTGGGCAAAAAAATGAATTTTTTTTGGCCTACGGCCTTCGAAATTCTCAAAATTTTCGCCTGCGGCGCTGAAAAAGGAAGATATCTGGCTTCTTGGGCTCCAAATTGCAAAAAATTTTCGACTGCAGTCGCTAAAAAAGTGAATTTTTTTGTCTACGGCCTTCCAAAATTCTAAAAATTTTTGCCTGCGGCGCTAAAAATGAAAGAAATCTGTCTTAAGAACCCCGAAATTTTCCAAAATTTTCGCCTGCGGCGCTGAAAATGGCCGAAAGAAAATAACTTGCTTGAGGTTAAGACTGTCAGGGCTTTATTTCGTCTGTAAGCGAATTTTGACATGTCATGCATTGAAATGCACAAAATGCTCAGTGGAAACAAGAAATTATTAGAAAAAATTCATATATGTAGGTAAGAAATATAAAAAATTTGAGCACGATTAAATATTTTCTAATTCAATTGGGAGTGTACTTTAATTTTGGAAATTTTGTCCCCATGTACTTTAAAATCATGATTTTTGTACTTTTGATTAGCATTTTGTCGATCCGAGCCCTGGGCTAAAAACAAGCAAAATTATAAAACGAGAAAAAAAAGACAAAAGAGAAAAAAAGCAAAGACAAAAAATAAAGGAAATTAAATAAAAAAGAAATTAGAATCACGTTGGTCTTGAAATAATTTAAAAAATTTGTCTCTAAAAATGTGCGCAGGAGAGATTGTCCACGAATGATTTTTCAGAAAAAAATTTTTTTGAGAAAAGCCCTATTTAACCCCAATTCCTGTTTTATAGACTGATTTTGAAAAAAACTTCCGAAAGATTGGGAAGAGACGTGATTTTGAAAAACTTTCCCCAATGATTTATAAACTACCCCTCTCCCTCCATTCGTGAACAATCTCCCTCCTCCACGCATTTCCCTTATTTTAACATTTTAAAAAATAAACCCTTTAAAACCACAAAACAAAGCACTTTTTTGTCAATCTTTTTTTTTTACATAATAATTGTTGGATTTGGCACGCTTGCAGCAATTGATTTGTGTGGAAGAACACAAGCACCTTTAATTAAATTTTAGAAAATTTTTTTAAAAGAAATTAAAAAAAAACCATTCAAATAAAGTTCATCCTTAACAACCACATCTTCACCAATAATGCTGGTATTTTCTATACGGACCCATTTACCTGTTAGAAATTGGAAGAAATTATTAAATAATGAAAATTTTTAATTCTGTCCGCAAATTTTTGCGGACAAGAAATTTGTCCGCAGACGACACTGGACCCTAAACTCGTATCATAAACCTATTCTAGCTCCGGCCGGCATACAGCAGCAAAAACCTCAACACTGACCATAAGTAAGGAGCTTAAACAAACACCATGACTTGGTCAAAACTTGTTAGATCGCGTTGGTTTGGTGTACTTCGAGTCAGCTCAAAAAGCTTTTTCGAACGACTACAATTTGTCGGGCCAACAAAAACCCCCCTACAAGTCACAATACTCAAGGGAAGCAACTGAACGGAGATTTAAACATTGATAACGGGGATTTTTTGAAAATTAGTAAATTTTAAAAGGGAGCAAAACTTGAATAAACGAAAAATTGTAGAAAACAAATAATCAAAATGGTAATCTTCTAGTTTACTGGTCCCGAGAAAAAAATTAGGAAGCAGTGCTATTTCGATATTTTTCAGGGTTACCAGGAGGTAATCGAGTGTGCTGAGTCCAAATCTGAGCTTAGAATTTGCTTATTTCGAACCCCGGACCCAGATTCGACTGAGTCGAATTAGGTATAAAAATTCGAAATTCGGATATTATTGTTATTCTGACTTGTCTCTTTATTTTGAGTCGAATGGTAGCAAAATTATTAAGTTTCAACCATTTTAAACGAAGTTATGATCAATTAAATACACGTTATTATAGACTTTTGTTTAGAAAACCGGCACTATAACTTCGTCCAAAATTGTCGAAACATTATAATTTTGATAACATTTTACTATACTCGAATATCCATGTTAGAATAACCATAATATCCTAATTTCGAATTTTTATACCTAATTCGACTTGGTCGAATCCGGGTCCGGGGTTCGAAATAAGCAAATTCTAAGCTCAGATTTGGACTCAGCATACTCGATTACCTACTGGTAACCCTTAAAAATATCAAAACCACACTGCTTCCTAATTTTTTTCGGGACCAGTAAACTAGAAGATTACCATCAAAATTAATTTCCAAACCTAATTTTCTGAATTCTAACAAAAGAATGGAGTTCTTCAGTCATTTTTTTCTGCTGATTCTTGTTCTTCTAAAGCATTCTCATCAAATAGACTGTCTTCCCGCAACAAGTCATCGGCCTAAAAAATAACTTGAAACCATAGTAAATAATTAAAAATAACCTCTTAAAAATTTTAACAGCTTCTGGACACTCTCTCAAAGCTTAAAATTAAGTAATTAAAAAAATTTTTATAAAAACAACCTATCAAAAGATCAACCATTCAAAACAAACAAATCAATGCATCTAACCGATGGAACTTTTGCTGTACGTCTTCTCGTTTGTCAAGAACTTGGCCACCATTTAATTGGCTTTAACATTGGGAAAGGATAAACTTATTTTTTATTTATTTATCTTATTTATTTATTTATTTATTTATTTATGAGCAACCACACGGTATAAAAATACACTAATAGTGGTGAAATTTAAAAGACAAATATATGTAAAAAGGACAAATATATGTAAAAAAAGACAAATATATGTAAAAAAAATTAATTTAATGAGAATTATGTATTTGGTGTGTTTGGTGAAATAATTGTTTTGGTATACATTTTGTTAAAAAATTTGTTTTACCTCACCAAACATTTAATAAATAGATTAAAACTTAAGGAAAAATGTTTCCGTTATCTGATATCCATTTTCTAATATATTTCCTGAATGGCTTTTTATGCATTATACCCATAATTTCATTAGGTAGTTTATTCCAGTTTGTTATATTTCTTATAAAAAAGTTATTTCTGGATTTCGAATTATATCTTTGGTTTTGAAGGAGAAGGGGTTTTCTCTTTGCTTTTTTTGCAAATGCGAAGAAGTTTTCAGGTTTTAAGTGTGTATTCTGATACAGGATTTTTTGAGTCATACAAAGATCATTAATTTGTCTTCGTATGTCTAATTTCTCTAAGTTACATATTTTTAATCTTTCTTCATATTTTATTTTAATAAATCCAGATTTTTTAAATGCAATTCTTGTAAAGTATTTTTGAATTTTTTCAATCCTTTCGCAATTAGCTTTTTTCATAGGATTCCATACTTCACTTGCATATTCTAGTTGGGGTCGAATATATGTTTTGTAGATATTAATGTATTGTTCTAGTTTTCTAGTTCTTATAACTTTAAAAAGCCTATATATACTAAAGTAAGCTCTTTTGATAATTACATTAATATGATCGGAAAATGAAAGTTTGGAATCTATTAGGATACCCAAATCTCTAACTGTTTGTAGTTTAGGAATTAGGTTGCCAGATATATGGTATTTTTCTTGTGTGTTATTTTTTCCAATGTAGAGTACAGAGCATTTATTTTCTGCGATTTCTAAACCGTTAATTTTAGCCCACTTATTAAGTAATATTAGTGATTCTTTTAGTATTTCCCGTCTATTGTCATTTTGATGATATGTATATAATTTTACATCATCTGCATATATTTTAATTTTTAAATCATGAGGAAGATAGTTTGGAAGGTCATTTATGAAGATAAGAAATAATAAAGGACCTAATACACTTCCTTGTGGTACGCCTGATTTTGTTTCTACGCTTTCAGAGAATTCTTTTTCTATTTTAACTTTAAAACTTCTTTTTGTTAAAAAGTTTTCTATGAAATCATATAATTTTCCATTAATTCCACAAGCTTTTATTTTGAGGCATA